AACAATATGCGCAGTGTTCACTTTTGGGGGAATGATTTTGCACTTTTCAAAAATTATGTTCGAAAAAAATGAGTGGATGATGAAATGCGCGTGCTGAACACAAAAAGGAAAATTTAGAAAGAAAACTCACAAACATTAATTCGGGTCACAATTAGACTTATTTGCATCAAGATGATTTCATCTTTATTTTTTGGGGAATGATTTTTCATTTTTTAGAAAACTACTTAAAACAAATTGAAACTGAGTCAATGATGAAATGATGAACATCTAAAGGAAAATTCACAAAAAAACTTTCTTTGGAAAACTTATCAATAAACTTCTAATTAACAAACATTCAATTATTCGTTTCACAATTAATTCGCAACAGAATAATCACACAAAAAGAATTATTTCTTTAACAAAAACAACAAGTTTCATTTCATCATCACTTCGTCAACGTGCTCACACAGCAAAGTCAAGTTCACAATTGACAATTTCCTTTTCAAAATGCTCTTTTCAACGCAAATTGTTTGAGCTTTTTGACGTTTTTCATGAACGACGTTCAAAAATCAACAATTATTTTCCATTTGGCTTGCATTCAAATTACATCCATCAGAATAAATAATATCACAATTAGCCCGAAAAGGGTCTTTTTCAATTAATAAATCAATGAATGGATGGATTAGTGAAATACAATTTCCAACATTGGATTCTATTGAAAATGATGGATAAATCTGGGCAAACATGCTATACCAAACAGAACTAGATGGCGCCATATTCATACATTCGATTACAGATTCAATAAAAATAAAATCTAAAAATCCAATTCGAGTGAAATCTATTTTTTTCGAATCGATTCACATCATCATCTCATTTTACTGTAAGAATGTTCGTTCATTCATCGAAAAAAATGAATCTATTAAAACAATAATAAAATACAATCATATTGAAGAACTACTATTTCAATTTTGAAAAATGTTTAATTATGAATTGCATTATTCAATTTTTCCATCATCATCATTTTCCAAAAAATGTTATTGCATCCGACGATATGCAATAACTTTGGAAATTCAAAACAACCAGCTGCGAATGCTGACTCTGCACATATCATCCTTTCCATCTCTGCACAAATGTATACAAACAAACCAACAATCCCACTTGCTACTACCACCACGCACTTCTGCCACCACCACTACATCATGGAAATAACAACAACAACAATGATCAACATGCATGCATGTTACACAAATACAGGGCGATGGTGTGATGAGTCATCATCATCATCATTACAATCATCATTCGATCAAACGAAAGACCTCAAATTAACAAATTTTCAATTTAGAAAAAGAATTCTTCCATTTGATTCGTGCCCAACAATAGACCAACTATCAACAATGTAATTTTGAAAATATCAGGTACTGTTATCATCAACAATCTTATCAATTTGCTTGTAATATTGGTTAAGAGAGTAAATACTTGAAATATTCAAAACATTGTTTCATTTGCTAATAATTTTATAACAAACTTTCAAACATCTTCAATTTCCTCTTTGGTTTTGTTTGGAATGACGATCATTTCTATAAATTGCATTAATAATCATCATCACTATAGTGTTATGATGATTGGTATATGTAGTTTTATTTCTCTCTCTCTCTCTCGCCTTCTGCAAAACGAAATAAAACGATGCAAGGATACAAACCGAAAATCTCTTTTTTGATTTCGAATCATGTTATGAATGTTTGTCCTTGCAATTTGTTTTTGTAAATTGAATTGCATTGATATGGTGTGTTGATGTTTGTTTATGATGTTTCGAACAAATCAAATGCACTCATCATCATCCAATTCTTGTTTGTCTTTTGTTTTGTTGCCACCTTACCCTTTCGTTGTGTTTGATTATCAAATCACAAATCAATATCGCATCCCTCAATCAAAGAGAAATAATTGATAATTTGATTTGTTAGGACTATTTTCTTTCGTGATTAGTCTATTGTTGTTTTGTTTTACAAATATAGACCTGTTGGAAAAGGTCATATTATTGTTACTCCAAGTAAGGATGTTGATCATGTTGAATGTCTATTGATGTGACACACTGCATTATGTCATATGACTTATTTAGTTGAACAACAATATCTGTGTTTACCACCCATTCATGTCTTTTTCTTTATTCCCATACAGATTGCTTCTACAATGGACTGAGAAATAATCAATTTCAAGTTCAACTCCAAGTATGATGTCATCATATCATATCATATGGTTGACAAATGCATATTACCAACTCAGTCTTCAATTCATTTTGGTCAAGCGCCATTCCCGAGCTCCATAATATTACCTACTTTTAGTTTTTTCTCCTTATCATTATTATTATGTGGTGTAATCATAAATTATTTGTTTTCAACTCATCCACGTCATTTAACTAACTAATCAAAATCGCCCGAAAATATCCAATGCATACTCATCATCCTTATTTTGGTGTGTTTCAGTGATTTGTGTTAGTGTGTGATTCCCAGTAATGTTTATCATACCGTCATGATAATCACATTGCTGGAAAAAAACAGTTTTTTCATTTGTTAGTATCAAGTTTCCATAGCCACTGTACTACTAAAAATCCCTAAATAGTGATGATATGTTTCAACATTTTGTTTGGTGTTCCGAACCTATTATGATTCTCTAATTTACATTTTGTTTGTGATTGGAACTTAGTAAATGATCTACGAAAAAGAAAACGTATTGAAATTGATTGGTTCATTTGAGTGATAAGATGGCTTTGACTTTACCTTTATCATCGAATGGGGAATTATTATTTTATACAAACAGTCCTAATGCATCTTCTTCCCATAACAATAATAATGGTCAATTGAATGTAAGCCTTTCGTTTTGATTCATTTCGTTTAACTAATTGATGTTTCTTTCGATTTTTCAGTCACATTTCAAAGGAGGATTAACAAAAACGACCCCAACATTAACGCCAACACGATTAAAGAATATTGAAGAACAATTTTTCGAACACTCATTATTACCGCCGAAACCTTTTTTGCATGATCATATGGCTGGATTTGTGCCACCAACTGTCAATATTAAATTACATTTGCAACAACCTCATCAACAACAACAGCCAATTGAATCGGATTCGATTTTGAATGACCAGGATAGCCAACCATTAGCACTTCTACATCAGGAATCATCATCAAAATCGATAGATTATTTTTCATCAAATTCCATTTCAAACGATAGTTTCAGTAGTAATAATTCTATTAGTGACGATTATAGTAGTGAAACCAATTCTTCATGTCAAGCTAGTGTCAATCATTTTACTTTCGCCAATTTCAAACAAAATCCCATCACAACAACAACCAACATGCCAACTAATCGAAAATCATCAAAATCACGATCAAAGTCAAATAATGCTGTTGGTTCGAAAACACGATCTAGTCAGAAAAAATCTACTGGTGGTGGACGCAAACCACATTCATCACAAAATGTATGATATTTCTAACTGATAATATTGCCTTTTCAATCATTTATTTTCCTCTCAGCTATCTTCGGATGAAATTCTTAAACGACAAAAGCGACGGGAACGCAACAAATTAGCTGCAGCCCGTTGTCGAAAGAAGCGTGTTGATCAAACCAATTGTCTGATTGATCAAACTAAAGATTTGCAAAAAAAGCATGATGCACTCATCAAAAAGGTGGAAAATCGTCTAAAAGAATTTCATAGCAAAAAGGACGTTCTCCTCAATCACGAATCCCAATGTCATAATATTGATATGCGAATTGTACAACAAATATATGCACAAATCGATTTCGCCGCCATCAATTCTGCCATGGAAACCGTGGCGGACGAGGATTTAGATACTGATCTTAATGTAAGTTGTTTTCATCTTCCCAACTTGTTATCTTATCTTTTCTATTGCATCATGTCACCAGACTACTTGTCACACATCATCTTCACAGGATGAATTTTCTCAACAAACATTGCCACCGCCGAAAAGAAAACGTCCAAATTCTTTGGTATTCCGTCCAATGGCTCATCAACAGCAAAACATCAAACCCGAACCAGGATTGGCTGAACAGTTACAATCGATAATAGGAACCAATGAAACCAATAATACCAACACACCTTCCAATGGTTTTAGTTTTGCCGATTTCGCCGGTCTGGTTGAACCGACTGGTCTAACACCATTGAATCCTTCAATAACGACAGTCGATTTGACTCCGTCCACAATGACTGCTTTTCTCAAATCGTTGGCATCTCCGATCGATGATCAGAAAAAGTTGCTTTCCATGTGATATTGATTTGTGAAACATTTTCTAACTTAAACATCAATAACCAGCTAAAAGCTCAATCACACCACAATCATTATATACATTTTCTTTCTTTATTTTTATATAAATTCATTGATCAAATAAGTCTACCAATATCGTCAATGACCATTATACTTTTTATAAGGAATCATTTATTGTTGGAAACACACATACTAAATCATTTCATTATTTATTTTTGTTATAAATCAAATTCATTTTTTCTCAAACAATCCATTATCATGATTATATTTTTTTTGATTCTGTCCGGGCAATAATTATAATAAAGAGAATGTTTTTATTTGTAATTGCCCAACTTTGCATTCAAATGTACATACTAACACATTGATTTAATTTATTGATTATTTTGAATTCAGTTTTGTTATGCAATATTTTTGCTAAAAGAAAAATATATATTGATCATACGATAAAGAGGTGAATCTTTTTTTCGTTGAAAGCAAGCAAAGTAAAACTTTCTGATGTTGCTAACCTTTTATTATGATGATAATGATGGCGATAAGATTGGACTTGAATTCAATTTTTAATTGAATTTCGTTGCTTGAAAATGATTTCATTTCTGCCAAATCAAGAATCTGATAATGGTGATGTTATTCAAGTGATAATTGGTTCTCAATAAGTCTTTCTTTCTCTTTATGGGCTTGTTTTTAGAAAAATTTTAAAATAAATTTGAGAAAATAAAAATTCTGTATCGACGACTAGACATGCACATCATTCACTTTCACTTGACAATAAAAAAGTTTGGTGATAACCATTACCCACTTTGAAATCACGATTCAGAAAACGTTTCATTCATGACATGGCATTTATCAATTTCTTATTAAGATAAAATAAAAATCATTGATTTATTGAGAAAACTTTTTTTTTAATAAAAAAATTCATTTCAGATGTAAAATGTGAATTTTTGAATGGACAACAATTTTTATCCTTGAAAACAAAAATGGCATGCCATTCAGATCTGCTGTTGTTTTCAACTGCACAATAAATCATAGGGTTTTGCTGTGTGTTGGGCATGTGCCATAAAAGACAATCGATAATCTATCATGATCGATTTGTTATCCATTCCAATGTAATTCTTCCAGTCAAAAACAAAATATTAATAAATAATATAAACATCCATATTGTAGCATGGATTATTGTTAATTAATTGATTGCCACTAATGAATATTCATTTCGATTGGTTACAAATCGTTTTGGGTGAATCTCAATTCAATTGAATGATTCCATCCAAGATGATTCTTTCCTACAAACAAATTAATAACAGATTGCAGCAACAACGAATGACATTGCCACTTATAACTATGATTAATTTGTTTATAATCTCGCAAGCAATGACGATATAATCTTTGAATTGATTAACTCATTGAACATTACACACTTTATGGTTTCATTAAGTGGGAAAAAACGTTAGACAAAATAACAAAATGCTTAAAAAACTTTATTTACAAGTAATAATTCAGATTCAATAAAATCAAATAATTCGTTAAAGGCTAGATTGTTGTTGGTATAATAAAAATCATAAATCCACTTCGTTTTCTCTATTGTGATCGTCATCACTATTGATATCTTGATCGGATGAATTTCGTATACGGCAACCACACAGTGTATGATTGGTGAATAGTAGTTTTTCAATTTTGGGACTTTGTCGCACACGACGATTTTTGAATGGTGATTGTACCTGTAATGTTATTGTTATGAAATATAATTCTACTGTCTGCATTTCGATTGCCACACAACTCTCGCTGGGATTGCTACAACATCCAGTCTGGTCATTACAACGATGTAACACTGTTCCACGTGGCAGATGAACTTTACTGGGATCAGTCTTATTCACATAGATTATCATGGATCGTGGTTGATGACATGCACCTTCATTGCGAACTCTAGCGCCATGATCGAATGCTTTGGCATAATCTTCAGTTATCATTGATCTTTTATTGTGATTATTGCTGCTGACAAATATTTGATTACAGGATAATATTAATAAACTGAATGCACAACTTTTCAACAATATGCATAATACATCACTATTATTTAAGGATAACATTTTTTTTCATTCATTTAACCACTGTGTAAAGAATGGATATCACGTTTGTTTTATTTTGTCACAAGAAAAGGATGCTGCACAACAAACACAGATTCAAGAATTTCTTAAACAGTCAAACACCGATGCAAAAGATGATAAAATAACCATTTAATCTGTGAAAGGTCTTTTTATATGGCGAATTCATTAATGTTATTCATTGCATGTATTTTTGCTTTCATATCAAAACGAATGTGGCAGGCGGTGCTTTCATTTTTTTCCAATTGAATTGAGTATCGACATGGTAAGAGAGAGAGAGAGAGAGAGAGAGAGAAAAAGAAACTGATAACAATGACACCAAATTCCATTGACTCTTCATTGGATTTTTCAGAGAAAGTTTAGTTTTTTGCGAAAAATGAAATGAACATCAACAAAAAACATGCAACACATTCAAATCCCTAATTAAGTAAAACTCCAATATGGTACTGTTATGTATTGGCTACCTTGGCCATTGCATTACTGCATGGAATCAAAAAAACATTAACGTTTTTTTGAAACGGGATTTCCGATAGGCAATATCATCGGAGAAAATGGAAAAAAGGTTAAAAAGAAAATTATTTCAGTCCAGACAATTTGCTAATTGATTAGCATAATGGTTTTTTGCAAACAAAACGCCCTGATCCATGCGACGAGATTCAATCTCTAATAATTAATCTTTCTAGACGGAAAAAATTATTTTCTGCGTGGATTTTGTCTAATCATCCAATCTGGAACGTTTAAGTTGATAATGATGATAATCCAATCGGATTTACAAACCATGTAATAATATTGAATGATTCAATAATCACATCATCATCACTTAGACATCCACTGTCTGCTTTCATCCATTAACTAAAATGAAAAGTTTTTCTCTAAACTTCAGTCTGTGCTAATTATGCTCCATCAATCATTCAAAATGTGTCGAGCATAATGGTCTGAAATCTAAAATTATATCAATGATTATCCTCCCCCTCACATCACTGACCATAAAAGAACCCTTTGTTATGATCCTATTCCAATGATTCAAATTAATCGCATTTATTGTCATTCTTATCACCTGTGTGCAACATTAATCACAAAAATTGTTATTGCTATGTTTGGCAACCAATAAACATTTCAAAATGAGTCAATTTCAAATATTTTGACTGTCCAATTCATACATCATCATCACTAATGTTCGAAATGAAACAAGGTTGTTGCATCAACATTTTCAATGATGTGATGATAAGATCATCATTTATTAGATGCACGTCACTCAATTCCAATTTGTAATAATTTCGAATTTAACTTCACTAACATAGATTTTCTGGGGAATTTTCATTCCTTACCAAGGATTAAATCTAGTGCAAAGTCATACCATCATTATTAATTGACCTGTAAGCATTTGTCAAATTAGTGTCTCATCATTGCAATAATGAATCAGTATTGATTTTCAATAAAATCTTAATCAATAAGGAAATTAATTTTCCACACAAATCTCAACCATAGAAATTTTAGCAAAAATACATCCAAACCAATCATGATAATGATGTCACTTTCATCGGCGTTATCCGATCATTTATTCATTGATCGGTGAAAAAATCAAATCAAAAAAGGATAAATCGATCGAATGGCGAATGACAAGCACGTAGACATGATAGAGAGATACAAATATTGATGATGATCAAATTATCAATATAATACAAGCTCATTCATTCCAATTTCTTCAGTCTCAAGTTTTTTACACATCTCATTGTTTGATGATGATGGTGGTGACAACAATAAACGATTCATAATCCTCTAATAATAATATATTGAATGTTTGTTGTTTTCTCTTTAAACTTCAAAAATATTTTTCGTTAATAAAATCTGTGAGCCTCATTTTTTATAATCGGTGTCTGTGTGGAATTTGTTTTTGTTGGGCGTCTGCCGTTTGCGAAAAGAATATTCATCATCCATCTAAGAACGATGCTGCTTTGATGCATACGTCTGCTTTGTGCATAATTATCATCATATTTGTTGGTGTGTGCGGTAATTGTGTGAATGTCGAGATCCTTGAAATTGTTTCCACTAAGCATAAATAATAGAATGCAACAGTCATGCTGAATAATTATTAAGACTGAGTTTCTCGAATGATCTATAAATGACAAATAAAATCATCTTTTGATCTTTTGTTTTGCTTATCCAATCCAATCTCTCTACTGATGTCTATTTGAATTGTTTGTAATAAAAGTGTTGCAAATAAAGAATGGCCGCTGCAATTGTCAGCGATATTATAAATTGTTTTCATTTTGAAAATGGGAAAATTGTATTTCGGGTATGTCACTGCAATTTCATTGATGTTCAGCAATTAATCAAATCAATTGATTAGCCCCCGGGTCGAAAAAATACCGCTGACGGTAATAAGGACCCTGGTCCGAATTTAGGCAACATAATGGGCATGTTGAGCCAATTTCGTGGCCCAGCAATCAATATCATACGCAATGTTGCCAATGAAATCGGCAAGGAATTGAAAATTGGTCATGTCGTTGAAAAAGTGGAAAAAATGGATGAAAAAATACTGGAAGAATTAAAAAATGCCCAATGGAAATACAAAAATCAAAAATCCAATCTAATCAAATCGGATTGGCGTGAATCCATTACATCGCTCAAACCACAGGATCATTTCTTTAAGGTAATTTTAACCAACAAACGTATGACACTCATGATGAATATGATACCGTAGCTTTCTTAGATTTTTCATAAAGTAACACTCATCTTCAATTCGAATCGAATGAGTGAATGAAAAAGTCAAGGTAAACAAGTTTTTTCTGCTGTTAGTTTTTCTTAGATTATTTTCTAGAGGTATACTTTTATAGTGTGTTTGATGATATGTTTGTGTGTCCGAAAATGGACAATTCAATTCATTTACCGAAACTTGTTGATTGTTTTGGCAAAAAAACAAAACATTCAACGTCAACAATTAAATGATGGATACAGTTAAAACACAAAAATACCTCTACGGAAATCATTCAATTGAATTTTGATTGTCATTTTTTGACCTCCTCGTTTTATTTAATAACAACCGTAACCAATTATCATTTCAAACAAGGATACTGCTACTGTGATTGTGATGGTGTTATTTTGTTGATAAATCATCAGCAGAAAGGGAAAAAAGACCAATTTGTAGTTGTAGCACAAACAAATAGAAATGATAAAAATTTGATAAACAAACACACCAATAATGTTATTATCCAATTGTCCTTCATCATCAAGCCAAAACAGAAAAACCATCCCCACCACAACAGAATTTTGTTCGAGAGTGATAAAAGCAACATTTTATTGGAAATGATGAAATATGAATCAAATATCCAACTAAAGTGCCATCCAAATGTTTATTGATTGATTAAATGGCCATAGACAAATAATCACCAATCAAGCAGCACATCACTGCAGTGTGTGTTGATTACAGTTTCAAGTTGATGTTGATGTTTTGATTAGTGAAACTCAATATATATCATATGTGTGCATACTGGAGTGGATCAATTCCATTCACACTACATATGATGACCAAGAATTATTCACTTGTATTCCAAATGTGTTAAAGGCCTTGTTTTCTTTTCACCATCAACAACATTCCAAACAAAAATAACATTGCCCAACTTTGTTGTTGTTTGATAGCCCACCTTTTTGGTTTTGAATGTTTGTTATTATTGGGAAAATATTGACCCAAATAATAAATTGACAACATGGAAGATTATCGAATTTATAATGTAATTATTTATCTATTCAATATCAAAACTAATATTATCATAATCCATGCATTTTTTCCAATTTTAATGCTAACAAAAAGAATGAAGGAGTGTTGACAGTATGTATTCATAATTTCCACCAATATCAGTCAATATTAATAGGCAAATTAATAACTGTCACGAAACAAATATGAAAAGCAATTTTGTTTTCAATATGAACAAAAAACGTGTGGGCAAAATGAATAGTTTGTTTGTGTGATTAACCACTTATTAGTGGCATAATCATTTTAATGATGATGAGGATACCGACCTATTGTGGCAGCATTGCTTTTTGATTTGATGACTGCATTGCTCACAAACACACCTGGTATGTGTTGAGTTTCATATTGTTTTGCTATATTGTTCGGTTGGCCAAATATTGTTGTTTATAGCAACCAACCGAATAAATGATTCTCATTCATTCGATTCACTGCTCTGAGTGGAATGTCAACATTTCCAAACATGTGAATTGAATTGAAAAATGTTTCAACAATTATTGAATTCATTAGTGCCCAATTCTCGTATCTATCCTCGAGATGTTTTCTTTGTAAATAATGATGTTTTACACCTTTTCAAATCGCTAATCATTTCTTATTCTCATATGGATTTAGCTCGGTGAACGAAGATCCGGTCTAACATCAAATTATTCTGGTCCACCGCAGGATTATGCAAAATTGAAGGAAAAATGTCTTCTGGAAGGACAGCTGTTTGATGATCCAGCATTTCCAGCAAATGACCAATCCTATTATCTTCATGGACGTGGTCCACGCAAATTCAAATGGTTACGACCGAATCAGATTGTCAATCATCCCAAATTCATCAGCCATGGTGCAGCTCGTTTCGATGTTAACCAAGGTGAACTCGGTAATTGTTGGTTTTTGGCAGGTATTTATTTCACAATCAATCATTTCTATAATAATTGAAAACTGGTTTGTAATTGTGATTAGCTGTTGCAAATCTAACTATGAATGAAAAATATTTTGATCGGGTTGTCCCACCTGATCAGTCGTTCGATAAGAATGATTATGCTGGTGAGTGAATCAATGTTATTGTCAAGCTCATTTCTTAAAATGACCAATCATCCAGGTATATTTCATTTTCGTTTTTGGCAATACGGCAAATGGATTGATGTTGTTGTGGATGATCGATTGCCAACGATCAACGGCAAATTGGTCATGATGCATTCGGAAGAAGTGAATGAATTTTGGGGAGCATTATTGGAAAAAGCTTACGCAAAGCTTCATGGGTCATATGAATCGTTGAAAGGTGGCACAACTAGCGAAGCTATGGAAGATTTCACCGGTGGTCTCACTGAACATTATGAAATCCAAACGGATGAATGCCCACCCAATTTGTTCACCATAATGCATAAAGGGCATCAACGTGGTTCATTTATGGGTTGCAGTATTAGTGTGGAAGATGCATCTCAAATGGAAGCCGTTATGCATAATGGACTGATTAAAGGTCATGCATATTCGATAACATCGGTCAAATATGTACATGTTGATCATGTACGAGTGCAAGGCAAATTGCCATTAGTACGTATTCGTAATCCTTGGGGTAATGAAGCTGAATGGACTGGTGCCTGGAGTGACAAGTATTGAACTTGTTCCATAATAATTTTATCTTTATATCATAATGTCTTCATATTTTATATAGATCGCGTGAATGGTCGATTGTTTCATCGGAAGAAAAACAACGAATCGGTTTGACCTTCGATGCTGATGGTGAATTTTGGATGTCTTTTGCTGATTTTCAGAAAAATTTCACCAATATTGAAATCACCAACTTGACTCCCGATTCTCTTGACGATGGTAAGTTTTGTCTGGTTGATGATAGCATGATCATCTATGGATTACTTTCAGACAGCAAAAAAGCCTGGCAAGTAAATTATTTTGAAGGACAATGGATACCGGGTGTTAGTGCGGGCGGTTGTCGTAATCATTTGAATACATTCTATCTAAATCCGCAATATATGATTACATTGACTGAACATGATGATGATGATGAACTTTGCACATGTGTGGTTGCATTGATGCAAAAAAATCACCGTATCAAACGCAAAATGGGTCTCGATAATCTAACCATTGGATTTGTCATCTATGAAGTTAATGAAAATAGTTATGGTGTTATGAGGTTGGATTATTCTCTATCCAATTCATTCAATTATTCTATTTATTATATTCTATTATTCACTAGGCAATCCAATGATCAAGTAATGCTGACTACCAATTTTTTCAAATATAACGCTTCTTGTGCCCGATCTCCTGCTTTTATCAATCTTCGTGAAGTCAACGGTCGCTATCGATTGAAACCAGGTTTGTATTGTTTGATTTTCAATTTTTACTGATGATATTTTCATTCGAAAAAAGGCCGCTATTGCATAATACCATCAACATTCGAACCGAATAGTAAAGGTGACTTTATAATCAGATTTTTCACTGAAAAACCAGCCCAACATGTCATGGAAAATGACGAAGAAATGGGTATTTCACAGAAAGAAGACATACCAGTTTCACCGGGAACTCCTGATGCTGAAGATGTATGTATTTGGATTGGATTGTCTTTTCTTATTTAATTTATCATTCCCGTGTTTTGCAAATTGTCAATTTCAAATTGTTTGATTCTCTGTTCTATAATTGTTTTGTTTAATCTTGAATCTGTTTGACATTGACAGAATACCCCAATTTACGATGGTCCTCCAATCGACGAAACAATAGTTCATGATTTTAAACCAGACCCGGATCCATTGCCATATGACGATAGAGGAAATAATGCTTCATTTAATTTTGATTTAATGCGAATAATTAACATGTGTATACCGCTTTTTAGTATGGCTAATGATTGTTACCAAGGAAGAAATGTCAATACTAATGATTTTTTCAATACTGCATTGAATTCCATTGGCATGGGTCATCAAAAACGAGCTAAACGGGCTACAGATTTGGTTTGTATTCATTATCTAATTGCAACATTCATCCTTCTTTTATTTTGTTTTTCACCTAATCATTATTTTTGTTCATTTTGCTTGTTTGCTTTCCACTGACACCCAATCCACCAAACTCATTAACATTGTTTTAAAATATTCAATTCTTTTCGATCAATCACAGAGAGATGGTCCCAATGATATTGGTGATCCGTACGATCAACGTCCCGAAGAGAAATCTGCCTATAAATTTTTCAGTAAAATTGCCGGTGATGATATGGAAGTTGATGCAATGGAATTGCAAAAAGTTATTAATCATGTTTTCAAAAAAGGTTTGCTACAAATCATTACTAATTGCAAACAATACAACTTATTTCTCCAATTTCTCCAGAACTGAAATTCGAAGGATTTTCAGTGGAATCATGTCGTTCCATGATAGCTTTGATGGACACTGATGCTTCAGGTAAGATTCGGACGAAATGGCCAAAACGATTCATTTTGATTGGCACAATTAGGTAAACTTGGATTCGATGAATTTGTCATTTTATGGCGGCATTTGCGCAATTGGTCGGAGATTTTCAAAAAATTCGACACTGAAAATAACATGGCCATTAATTCTGGTCAACTGAAAGCTGCCTTCCGTGAAGTCGGAATCAATGTTAATCGAGTTGTTTTGCGACTGTTGGTCAATCGTTATGGTCATCGACCGAAAGAAGCAAATCGAATCGAAGATGAAATCTATTTCAATGATTTCATTTGTTGTGCACTGAAAATCAAACGCTGCATAGAAATTTGGAATAGCAAAAAGATTCGATCATCGCCTTCAGGGCCGACTGGATTCGGTGATTTTGGTAGTTTGATACCTGGAGCTCTAGGTGCAATGGGCGCACCACGTGGATTCGGTAATGCATTTTCAACTTTTGCCGGTGCGTTTGGCGGTAATCATCCAATGTTCAACCGACAAAGACCAAGACCAAGCAATGAATCATCTTTTACACTTGATGAGGTAACAGACTCGATAATAACTTGCCTCAAAACAATCCTAATCGAAATATTTTTGTTTGTTTCAGTTCATTCGAGAAGTGCTATATTCTTAAATCGAAACTTTCTAAAATTATGTCTGATTTTCTGTGGTCACAAAAAAGCTTTTGTTGAAATTGTTACATTTCAATTAGCGCATTACCTCTCTATATCGCTGTTTAATCACTCAATCATTATCCTCAAAAGAATTTATTATTTTTTAAAGTTTGTTTTCAAAAAAAAATTTCGTCACATTTTCTTTGAACGGTTCATTATTGATTAAAAAAAGTTTGCTTCAATTTTGGAAAATCAACACATGATTTTATTTTTTATTTTTTTCGAAAATTACAATATGCCAACTGGAATCAGAAAACTAAATAAAGGTATCAAGAACATCAGACTGAATGCAGCAAATAACAATCAAGAAAAAAAGAATGAAAATTCCAGTTTGGACGAGGCTAAATCGATTGAATTCAAAGCAGAATTGGTTTGGTGTCGAGAGCAACTGAAAAATGAATTCGATAAAGCTAAAAATGAGCGGCGAAAAGAATCGCTTTGGAAAGCTTATAATATTCTAAACAATGATAAAATGTCGATCATTCGAAAGCGACAAGTGATGAATCAATTTTGTGGTGATTATCGCAAACAAATCAACGATGAAATTTCGCGAGTAATTTGTCAGAATTTTCCTGTAAATATACGCAATATGTCCGCAATGGTCAAGTCATCATCGTCGAATGATTCACAGAATGAGCTTAATTATATTTTCTTAAGAAAACGTAATAAACAAGCAAACAACAAGTCGCAAATGTTCGATGAATCGAGTTGTCATTTCAAACTGGATTTGCCCAATTGATCTGTGTTATTATAATAATTATTTGTTTCACTGATTGTTACACATATTCTGTCTATTCATTAATTCATTCTTATTAAATACAGCCTTGACGAATTCATTTTTCATTGTAAAATTGTTTTGATTGAATAAAAAATTCGAATCTTAAAACTGACGCTCGCAGCTATTTATACTGACATTGTCTGGCTGTGTTTATCTCAGCCACATCATTGCACGTGTGGCTGATGCAATTATCGATTTAATGGCTATTGCCAACACATCGGCTTTTCCCTCTTGTGATTTGCAATAACTCTCCAAATCAATATCCATCTCTAATCATGTCTCAAGACCAATTGACTGATGACCAAAAATTTCAATTAATTTCCCGAAATGTTCAGGTAGGAAACAAAACAAAAAGATTTTCTCTGTCTCATTTATCATTGAATTTAGGAAATTCTTGGCGAAGATCGGCTGAAAGAGATTGTAAAACAGAGAGATTTGAAAATCTATTGGGGAACGGCTACCACTGGAAAGCCTCATATTGCCTATTTCGTTCCCATGTGTAAGATATCGGATTTTTTAAAGGCTGGATGCCAAGTTACAATTCTGTTCGCTGATTTGCACGCCTATCTGGATAATATGAAAGCACCATGGGATCTACTTAAACATCGAACCGAATATTATGAATGTTTGATCAAAACAGTTCTCGAATCGATCAATGTACCATTGGATAAACTAAAATTTGTTCGCGGCACCGAATATCAATTGAGTAAGGAATTTACATTGGATGTATATCGTTTATCATCCATTTTGACCGAACATGATGCTAAAAAAGCTGGCGCTGAAGTAGTCAAGCAAGTTCAACATCCAATGATCAGCTCGCTTCTTTATCCTGGACTTCAAGCTCTGGATGAAGAATATCTTAAAGTTGACGCCCAATTCGGTGGCATTGATCAAAGAAAGATTTTTACTTTTGCTGAAAAATATTTACCAATGATGGGATATACGAAACGTATTCATCTGATGAACCCGATGGGTAATTTCTTATTAACAATTGCTTTTCAATTTGATAATACTATTCTATCCTAACACAGTTCCCGGTTTGACTGGCGGTAAGATGAGTTCATCAGAAGAGGATTCCAAAATCGATCTGCTAGATTCAGCCGAAGATATCAAAAGAAAAATCAAACGAGCGTTTTGTGAACCGGGCAACATTGAAGACAATGGAATATTATCATTTTTCAAGCATGTATTGTTTTCATTGTTCGAACAAATCGTTGTTGAACGAAAATTTGATGGTAACGTTACCTATACGAATTATATGCAAATGGAAAAAGACTTTCAAGATCAAACATTACATCCTGGTGATTTGAAACAATGCACGGAAAAATATTTGAATAAACTTCTCGAACCTGTTCGCGCGAAGCTCAAAGATCCTGAATTTAAAAAATTAACAGAACTGGCATATCCCAAAGTTTCAAAAAGTAATTAGTCGATAACTTTCCCAAGTGATTAAATTAATTTATTTTGTTTTCATTACAGAAGGAAATATCGTGCAAGAACCTGGTCCAGAAATTCTTGAAATTCGTGTCGGTCGAATTTGTGAAATTGAAAAGCACCCTGAAGCTGATAGCCTTTATTTGACTAAAACTGATGTTGGCGATCCATCTGGACCGCGAAATATTGTCTGCGGTCTTGCACAATTGATACCGGCCGAAGAGCTACTAAATCGTTTGGTTGTTGTTCTGTGCAATTTAAAACCAGCTAAAATTCGTGGTGTTGTTTCATCGGGAATGATACTTTGCGCATCAGTAGCTGAACCTAGAAAAGTTGAACCATTAGATCCACCATCCAATAGTGAGCCTGGGGATTTAATATTATTCGAATCTATTACCGATGACCAAGAGAACACACCGATAACCTTTCAGATAATCGACCCGAAGAAAAAAATCTGGGAAAAACTCCAGATCAATTTATCCACATCACCCGATTGTATAGCGCAATGGAAAGATAATGTTTTGAAAACAGACAAAGGGCCAATCAAATGTAAAAGCTTAAAAGATACACCGATCAAATAATATTGATAAAAGGATATTTCACTTTATTATATAAGCATATTAGGGGTTCATTTACAGATATCATCTGGAATAATTAAGTTTTCTAATTGAATAATTTTTACAAAAATGATTAAATATTACATTATGCTAATTGATTCATTCGTTATTTGAATAACTTCGAGTTAGATCGGCCGCCGATTTTCCCACTGGTTTGGGCATTTTTTTACCAAACGTACCACTTTCATCCAAATCTTTGGGTTTATAATAATGTGGTGCTACTTCCAACAGCCACGATGGATTGATTTCCATTACTTGTCGCATATATTCCTTGCTGGTCAACACTAATTCATGATAAAGAACACATTGTGGTTGTTCATCGAATAATGTCGAATTGGGATGAATCAAAACAGTGTTGTTTCCTTTGATCGTACGATAATGTCCGCCTTTATTTAATTTAGCTGTATGATAAAAATATCCGGATGTTATTGTTTTCCGTATGGCTATGTTATCATTATCGCACGATTTACATTCAGCTTCTACGCGCTCCATTAATTTTTCCAATTGATCACGAACATCTCTTGCCCGACACATGGAACGATATTGAACAAAATTCTCCATACACCATTGTTTGGAATAAGCCGAATCCATCCATTGTTTGTAAACATTCAACAAGGTGAGATGATCACCACCCGGCATAAAAAATCGTTTACGGGCTGTATCGGCAAACACTGCCTTATCTTTTGGTCGATAGAATACGGATGAATTGACGCTCAACATGGAGCAAATTGTAAGCATCTCTTCGCCGCAATTATATTTTTCCGAGGCTAACAATGCTCTCGACATCATTGGATCTAATGGAAACTCGGCCATTCTTCTGCCGAGACGTGTTAATTCGCCCAAATGATTCAAAGCACCAAGTGCATACAGTTGTTCTAATGCAATAATCAATGCTTCTGATGATGGTGGATCCAGATAATCAAAATGAATGATATCATTGATGCCAAGACTTTTAAGCATTAGAACAACATTTCCAAGATGAACACGTTGAATTTCTGGAACGGTGGAGTCTTCCAATTCATTTTGAAAAGCCCATGCTGTAAATAAACGAAAACATTTGCCCGGTGCAACACGACCAGAACGGCCAGCACGTTGATTGGCACTTGCCTTCGAAATGGGCACGACTACCAAAGATTCCATTCCGGTTCTTGGATTAAAACTATTTTGTTTGCAATAACCCGGATCAATAACATAGATAATGTTATCGATGGTTATTGATGTTTCGGCGATGTTTGTTGCGATTACCACTTTTCTTGAATTCGGTGGTGTTGGCTCAAATACCTGAGCTTGCATATCAGTAGGAAGATTAGCATAAATAGGTCGGATTAGCAGTTCTCTCACACGTGTGCCTAATCGACGAACACGTTCTTGTAATAATTCTTGACATTGTTCGATTTCTTCTTGACCGGGAAGAAAAACGAGAATATCTCCCAGTTTTTGTGTAATATGAATTTGTAATATGGTAACAACACAGGCATCTATATAATCAGCTTCGGGTGCTTTTGTATAATAAATATCAACAGGAAAACGACGGCCAGGTATACGAAAAACTGGTGCACCATCAAAAAAATCGCTAAATTTTTCCGCATCCAACGTAGCGGATGAAATGAGTAGCTTGAGATCGGGTCGAAAACGTGCAATATCTTTGACCAGACCGAATAGTATATCCGTATGTAAAGTTCGTTCATGAGCTTCATCGATAATTATCACAGAATACGATGCTAGATCTGGTTCGCCCAAAAATTCTCGCAATAACATACCATCAGTCATATATTTGAGGAGGGTTTTTTCACTCGTGCAGTCTTCGAAACGAATCGAATAGCCAACAAGCGAACCAAGTTTGGTGTTCATTTCTTCGGCTACACGTGCAGCGACACTCATAGCAGCTACACGACGTGGTTGGGTACAACCAATTTTTTTGCCATCTTTACAATAACCAGCATCAATCAAATATTGTGGAATCTGTGTTGTTTTTCCCGACCCAGTTTCACCTTCGATAATCAACACTTGATGATCATTGATGGCGGCGATTAAATCATCTTTGAATGGATACACGGGCAATGATCGACGAGTTTCTTCAATCGACAGTTTTTTCAAATCTTTTTCTGTCATTCGTTTATTATCATCATCATCATCATCTTGGCTAATATCATCATCACCGGCCAATGTTAAGGCTTTCACAAAATCAATTTCAATGCCATCAACAATAAGATCATATTCTTTGGCCGCATTTTGTTGTTTAGCATCTTTAGCACCGAAATGAAGCCGGGCACTTCCTAATCGTTCTTCTTCCCATTTTCGTTGTTCTGAATTCGGTACCCGTTCATTGTCATCAATTTCTTTATATTCCTCGGTTTGTTCTTCACTTGGAATATGATAGCGTTGTATATTGGCAAATTCCGATACCTGATCATGTTGCCGAGCTAGTTCTAGTATTTTTTTATTATAATCATGACGTTTTTGCTCACTTTCGGTCAGTTTTTCTTTGCCGAATAGATATTCTTCATCAGCAATGGCTGCCTCCAACAGCGTTAATTGATCATCTTTACGTTTGGCCAGATATTGTCGACGAGATTCTTTACGTAATTGCGGCACAACTAATGTTTGATCTTCTAATTCTAATTTCAGCCGTTTTGATGCTTCTTCCAGGCCTTTTTTATCACTTTTGACGGCTATATTTCTTGTTTTTTCTTTATCTTTTTCTTGTAATCTTTGTGCGAATTCATCACGAGCTTTAAGATCTTTCATCCGTTCTTCTTGTTCGGAATCCGAATCCGTAGGCACATATGAACGTTTTGTCGATGACATTATTTAGTTTTGTTGAAATGAATTATTTTGTGAAAAAATTGATAAATACAAGAACTGATGATGAAATTCATTGACAATTCAGGTCCCTTGCAGGTTATTGACAAGGATTTTTCTTCGAAGAAAAACGTAAATAAAACATATATCGAACACACGTTGAGTGATGACAACAAAAACAACAATAAGTTTGCCACGTCTACAACCAGATGGCGTCGTTTTTCGAATATTGTGATTTCCTTTTCTTCAACAAAAAAAAAGTTAATTTATTTAAAAAATCTAAGATATTATTGCCATCTTGTAAAATATGATCTTATAATTACACTATCCTCCATCTTAACATGGTAAGTTTTTTGCAAATATCAATGACCGCAAACATCTTCTCTTTTATTTGAATGTTGAACGAGTGAAATAAATGAGTTTGACAACTTTATTTTTCGTTTGAAAAAAGAAGATTTTCGAACCATTAATTTGCCTTGAAGTTGTTGTTGTTATCTTGTTTGAAATGGCCTTTTTAATTTATATATTTTTGGCATCTTGGATTCAAATGAAATAAAGTGTAATGAAGCAAAATGTAAATTGTTTACGAACACACTTGAGTTTGTCTTTCGCTGCTTTGACAAAGATGTGAAAATTGAAAAATTGTTGATAAATTTTGCAAATAAACATTCATCACTGATTGGACATTGAACAACTTGGATTGTAAAATCATTTGTAAATCTCATCCATAGTACGTTGCACGCTGTTTTCCAAGCAAACGAATAGAATGATCGAATCTATTTCAAATCCAAGTTTGTTTGGGTTGTGTTTCTGTTTAGGTAGGTGTATATGATGGATATCCTTTTCTCACCAATATTGATCTGTTTTTGTCTTTGATCCAGTTTTCGGTGCAATTTTATCACAGATATCGACACCAAATGAACTATGCAAGAATGGTAAATTTCGGCTCGTAGAGCATGAAAAATATTGTGATTATTATTATCGTTGTGATGATGATGGTCATGCTGTTGAGGAGAAATGTCCAAATGGTCTGGTTTTTGCTGGTTATCGTCGTGGTATGATTGATAACCATTGTGGTTATCCATACATTGTTGGCTGTCCAGATGGCGTCAAAGTTATGGGACGTAAGTTGACAAAACCGAAACGGTAAAAATTCAATGACAACCAAATCTAATCTCTAGAATCGCCTTCAAATTCTGGCAATTGTCCATGGAGTTATGGAACATTTGCGCATGAAACATCCTGCACAAAATATTGGCAATGTTGGAATGGCACTGGCACCTTGCAACAATGTCCATATTCCTTACTTTATAATGAGCGCATTCATTCGTGTGACTGGCCACAAAATGTTCCCGATTGTCAAAAACATCGTATGTGTGATGATTATGTTAATTTCTATCATGATCACCTCTATTATTATAGCAATTTGTAATGAAAAACCCAATGGAGCTGTAACAATTGAAAATAATTGTGATAGGTATTGGCTTTGTGTCGGTGGCTATCCACGTCTACAACGTTGTCCAGCTGGTTTGGCATTCAGCATTGAATTGTCTAAATGTGAATTGGACTATCTTGTTCCTGGATGGTTTGTATAACTTTGCTGATTGTTAATTAGATATGATGAATAATGCACTACTATTCATATAGTGAACCTGTACAACCATTGGTGGATGATAATGCTGTTGCATATAATAACAATGGAACCAGTGATGCTAATCGAGATTCGCGTGGCTCATTGTAATCATTGAACCATCATTCACAATGGCTACCTGATTTGACCTAAAAAATTAAAATACAAAATGACTTGATGACAACTATGCTGATTCATTACACAAAACACCACATACATGAAATGTAATAAAAGAATAATGTATTTGTTGTTGCAGTGGATTAATGATTATGATTATGATTATGTACAATCATATTAATAAAATGTATCATATAATCAACACATTTTCTTCCAAAAGGTGTTTCGATTTGGAATAAATAAATAAATTTTGAAAAAATCCAATTATTCAATGAATATTGATGACAAAGACAGCAACGAAATTATCGTATTTCAAGTTTATAATTTCCATCATCATTATCGTCATTAAAACTTTTGTCCATGGCTATTCACAAAAGGAATCCTTCCTTTCCTTTTTGATTGTTGCTTCAGAGACACACATTAGTGGTGATGATCATTCCCAATCATAATGGAAAAAAGCCACTGTGCGTATATTTATCTCAATAGTAACCTGTGGATAATGATGATGATTTGATTAATGGATTTATGTACAATCCTTTCCATCATAACAGTGAAAAACTCGTCATTCCACTTTCCTGCAACAACAATAGCTTTCAAAAGGATTTACACTGCCGTAAATCCTTTTCTCTCATCCATTCATTTGCATTCTCTTTTTGCTCTACAAACCACCGAGTGGATCTATATTTTTCTTGAAATTTATTTTTAAAAATAAATTCAGCAAAAACAATCGTTTGGTGAACATGATAAAGTATATTGTCATAACATAGCCCACTTTTCAACACACGTTTCATTTCATTTGATGTAAATGATGGAATGAATGAATGAGAAAAAAATCAATGGCAACCTTTTTTGATTGAAACACCTGGTAATTATCAATGGAGCACTCATAACATGTGATTTATAATAATAGTGTTTTGTTGATGATAAATAATCATCATTTTTAGCAAATTATTATTGATCATAAACGTGTTCAAGTAGTTTAGTGGTGTGCGTGTTTGATTTCACCATTATGCGTTGTTGTTGATAATGATCCTCACTGTGCTGTGTTATTAAACAAGTTGTTTCTCGACTATACAAAAGTGGACATTCAATGATAACAACAACATCACTAACAAACCTATCTTCCAGCGACATGCTTGATTTTTTTTTAATTTTTAGACAAGTGATGTAGCATACCCACCATCCATATTTGTGTAAAATTTTCCCATTGATCATCATGTTTGATCTGTGAATGGTATTGGTGGTGTTTTATTATTTGATTGATTGTAATACTTTGTTTTTTCCTCATAGGATTTCCTAAACATGTTCCTTTGATCAAAAAACAATGCGATTGATACGAAAATTGAGTTTCCGTCGGCGTTCCAAGCAACAATTGGAATGCGAACCCAATGTATTCCGATTGAATAATAATAAAGAAAATGTGCAATCATCAATTGAAGTGACGGAATCGGAATTCAGTAGATACATTCAATTTAATAGATGTTTGATGCAAAACAACAGCGTTTTGGATTCATCATATCAATTGATTGATATCAAATTACGAAATCATTTTGAACCAATTCAATCTGATAATCGAAATAATATACCTCAAATCCATAGTGGCCATTATCGGCAATCTTCGTTTGAATGCAAAGAAATGCTTGATATGAACCACATTTACGATGTTGTTGGTCAACCATCATCATCAATAGTCAATCATGATAATGATGATGACTACCATCATTTACGAACGCGCATCCGAACGAATCCTTGGTATAATTCTCGTTCGGGTTTGAACAACATCAAACAACAACCTGATCATCACTATGAATATATCGATTATTGCCAATATTCACAAAATGTTCATCAACCCTCACCAATGCTAACTCGAAAGAATTTATCAACTTTTGATCGACCAATTCCTCCTCCTACTCCCATCATCAAAACCAATGATCGTCTGACTGATAATCCATATGAACAACTGACTTCAAATTTCAATCAAATGGAAAAGGAAAATTTAACAATAAATAAAAGACTTTTCCATTCGAGAAAGAAACTTATTGCTGCTATAAATAACAACCAAAACAAACGACAAATCAATGATCATCATCATCGCAATCAACCATCTCCATATCAAATGAAATTCGCTGCAACAAACGATGTTTGTTCCAAAAGAAAATTCATCGATGAAAGCAAGGACGACACTTCATCACCAATCAAGAGAAGAAAAAACAATGTTCCGCCAACATCACCAACATCACCGATCCGAAAACGATCACGCAAAATCGATCGATTAAAATCGGAATTGAAAGAAATTGTGCATGTAGCCCTAAGAGAAGCTTTGAATGAAAAAGATTCAAATATTTTATTGTGAAGAAAACAAGAAAAAACATGAAATTTCAATCGATTATTTTACAAAAGTATTATTATACAGGATCAAATTTGTAACAAACAAAATAAGAAAATTGAGATCACAGACTTAACATAACAAACAAATCATAGTCAACTACACTAGGCTTGTCTTGTATTGGCCAATATGAATTTGTTGAATATTAATTTCTTTCTGCCTTGAATGAATGAATAAACAACTAATAATAATAATAATGATCGTGTTGTTGTTGTTGTTGCTTGATTGGAGCTATATCTCTATATGAAAATGTTCGAGGCGCCATCATCATTGTTGACTGATAATGGTATGGATGTTTTTGTGCGATGATATTTTTTTGATAGAAATTATCATCATCATTGTTGCAAATACGATTTCTATCACATTTCAAAGACAATAATGTTGCTGAACGATTTTGTTGAAAACTAGTAAAGGTTTTCTTATGACGGGATAAGGAACTTGTATGACGATTCATTGATGAAAATGGATGATTTTTTCTTGGTAAGGAATGATATTCTTGAACACTTCTCTCATCTTCTTGTGATTGACAACTTCCTTCGATACCAGTATCCTGCGAAAAAGAAAGACAAATGTTGAGCAAATTTTTACAAACCAAATAAAAATAAACATACCGAATCACAAATAACATCCGATTCATCACAATCGGTAAATTTAGATGTTTGTGCATGTTGATTGAAATCAATTGAAGTTTCCATACAATGATGGTTGCCTGGGTTGTTTTCAAAGGTTTTCAGCAGATGTGAATTATGTTGTCGCCGTATATAGCAAATGACAACAATCCAAGCCAATGATGTTAGTACAACGCATATGACAATAGCAATGACAATCGAGCAATATTCATTCATCACATAACCGAATGAAGTGATAAAATTATCGGAATTTCTTTTGGAAATTGTTACCATTTCCAAATAGCAAGAATCACTAGTCGTACCATATGTATTGGAAATATTGCATGAATAGTGACCTTGATCGGACAATGCAGATTTGGCGATGATTAACCTTTGTCCACCGGCAGTAAAAAAATGCCGATCAGTTTGCTCTAATAGTTGGCCATCTTTAAACCAAACAACTTTGGGCACAGGAATACCCGTAGCCATACATTCTAATGAAACGGTTTGACCAGGCTGACTTTTGATATCGACCATTTTTCGTAACAAGGATGGTATTTCGATAACATTCAAATAGGCTGTTGAAACGATGGAACCAGCATCATTGGCAGCATGACAACTATATGAACCCATATCTGTTTTTTTCACTTCAACAATAAAGAAAACATCATCAGCAGGCATGACATGCATTCGACGTTCCATAGCGGCTGGAAAATTGTCGCCACCATCCTTCTGCCATGAAACAATCGGACTAGGTTGACCTTTAGCCGAACATTCTAATTTAGCTGTATGGCCGATTCTTACGGTCACATTATACGGTCGTTTGAGAAAATAAGGAACAACATAAACATTGACCGAAAATTTATGCGAATAAACACTGCCATAGCTATTGGATGCCATGCAATGATATCGGCCTTGGTCATCATCTTGGATGTTGATCAAATGCAATATACTGGTGTAATGTGTAACATTATCGGAAAATGGTTGGGCAATGTTTTCGATTTGTGCCCGGTCATGTTCAATTAGTTGATTATTGCGAAACCATTTGAATTGAATTTTATCATTACTGCCGGTGGCAACTTTGCAATTAAAACGTATATCATCATTTTTGATGGCTGCAATTGGTTTGCTTAAATTGCTGAAATCTTCAATCAAATATGGTTTGAGAAAGTGTTGACATTTAAATTCTTCTGGTTGCACGTCTAGAAATGAATTCTGTGTTCGAATGGCCAAATTATGTGGATATTTGCAATGAATTTTTCTGGCTGATTGTTGTCGTTTGGGATTGGTTTGTAACCACTGATAAAGCCATTTCATTGTACAATCGCAAAGTAGATCGATTTGTTCCAGATGAATTCGATTCAGATTTGATGACCATTCAAATGAGTCTGCTTGAATGGATGATAATGGATTTGCGGTGAGATTAAGCATTAGTAGGTTGGATAATCCGGTGAAAGTATGTTTATAAATCAGACGTATTTGATTATTATCTAAACGTAGTTCTCTCAGATGGGCAAGACCATTAAAAAATCCAGTGGATCCTTCTAGTGTCCATGATAGTTGATTATAGGATAGGTCTAATGTTTGCAAATTTTTCAGCGATCGAAATGAATTGTCATCAACATAGGATATATTATTGTTGGACAATTTCAACGTCTGTAACGAGTTTAATTTGTCGAATGTTTTCAATCGAATATGCTGTAATCGATTATAACTGAGATTGATTTCAATCAAACTACGTAACGAATTCCAAACATTATCGCCAATATTGGCAATCGAGTTATGTTTGATGGTCAATTCTTTCAAGGATTCTAGGCCATAAATCCAGCCTTCACTGATTTCGCTGATATTGTTATGATCAAGATTTAATTTCTGTAGATTCGTCAGGCCCCAAAATGACCCATCATCCAAATTGTTCAATTTGTTTCGTCGAATTTTCAACGATATCAATGATTCTAATGCTTCGAAAGCCAAAATATCGATTTTATTGATTTGATTATAATTTAAATCCAGTTCTCGCAAATGATTCAATCCATTCAACCACGATTTCGATATAATCTGCAGGTTATTTTTTGAAATTTTTAATACTTTCAAGTTGGGAAACATTTCGAATGCATCCTGTTCAATAATTTCCAAATCATTATTGACCAGTATTAATTGAGTAATGTTCCACATTACGGTGGTGGAAAGAAAATGTTTGGGTATAATTTTGATCGAGTTATTCGATAGATCGATGTATTGAACATGGGGATAAATTGATGATATATCAATCGATTGAATCGATTCATAATTTAAATGATTGTTGGCAATGCTCAACCAACGTAGACTATTTGCGTGATAAATCAATGGAAATTGTGTCAATTCATTATCGTTGAGATTGATATTTTTTAAACTTTTCTCCAAATAGGAAACATCATTGAAAACATTGTTGAACACTTCGGAGTCAATGAATCTTAGTTGGGTACGTGATAGGTCGATCAATGTTAAATTATTTGGTGAAATGATCAATGAGGATGATGATATGGTTTCCAAGGGATTGTCATTCATAATCAAGGATTCAGTCCATCTTGGCAGATCGACGGGTATCCGATGAAATTGTTGATTAGCACAATTAACAACACTGGCTGATAGACAATTACAACGTTTTGGGCAATCATTGATTTTTACATTCAATGATGAACATTCAACAATCAATAACCAAAATATGACCAACATCAAAATGTGGACATATTGTTTTAGTCGAATCATTTTCTCAAATACATTAGTTTAGTTTGAAAGTATATTTTCCAAAAATTCAATAATTAACAAAAACAAGAAACATTCACAACAATGGTCAGTAAAAAAATGTTTGTGATCAGTGGTGGTTGAATCTTCGATGATCATTGAATGCCATAGTCATGAACAAGCGCGGTGAGTATATTGTGTTGGTTTGTTGGTGTTTGAACACACACACTATGCCATACACCTCGCGCAACATTTTCCTGATGATCAGCACACACCACACACACCATTTCGGGTGAGCAGCGCTTTCGGGTGAAGAAGAAGAAAAATCGCTCATTGGCACCAACTTGGCCTCTCTCCACTTTTCAGATGGGGCAAATAAGAGGGAAAAAATCGTCAGTTTGAATGGTGGTGATGAATGAATGATCTTGGAAAAAAAGGTCCTTACAAAGAACTGGAGAATGTGTGCTTGTTGGGGTTATGCTATAACACGGCAATCAACTAAAGAAATTGAAACAAGTTATGCAGTTTCAAGTTATGGGGTTCGATGATATTGGCCATAGACGAACAACATTGATTCAATATTCGTTAACTGTGCTTTGAATGATATTACTATTATTCAACAACTGTCTAAGGTCAACAAATTTTTCTTGTGGTTGGGCTAACGAATATTGAATCAATGTTGTTCATGGTTGCATTACGATTATCATTGACAAGAATGGATTGGACAAAAATACATCAACAACAACAACACCATCTTAATATTTTGGATGATAACCAATAACAATAATCCTAATAATACAAATAATAAAAAGAACATTTTGATCTAAGTAAATAATCATCATCATAAATCAAATACAATTTTTATTTCTCTATTGCCATCTTTCTGTTTGACACTTGATGATGATGGTGGAAAATAAAAATCTCAAGAAAACGATAAGATTATCATTTTTATCATTTTTTCATGACTTAAGTAATAAGAAAAAACTCAGGTGTGTCCATGAGGAAAGTGGAAAATATTATTTATCCGATTAAGAAACATTATCAATTGTCTGATGTTATCAATTTTATTTTGTTCACTCACAGTAATAATCTCTTGTCAAACGAATATTGTTTTTCTGGATCACTCATCATGTGATGTGTGGTTTAATGTTCAAATTTTTGATTTTTTAATTTTACAAAATATTATTTTTTACTGCAAAAAATTATCACATGACATGTTCATGTTGGTGATAAAAAGTGTGGGTACTGATCGATAATTGATGTTTTTAACACCTTTTGCAAACCAATTAACCATCCAAAATCATATTCAAATCCAATTTAGACAATTTTCATTCATTCTTTCTGTTATTGCCTTCTTTTCTTTTCCACAAGAAACAAATGTTAGTGGTCATATCATTCATTGGTTTTGATATTGACAGAAAAAATATTTTTGGATATAAAATCTGCATCTGTATAGATAAAATGAATGGCTACCGAAGAATTGAATTTCATTTGACAAATGTTTGTCGTCAATAACAATAATAGAAGGAAATTTTCCAATCTTGAAAAAGGTGTGCAAAGCGGTTATCTCTCTCGCTGGCTTTCCTCCGCCGATTCGAGCCGCCAAATCAATTTGGTGGTTAATGTTTTTTTTTGTTTGTTATTATTATTAGCTTTTCAATGGCAAATTTCCACCATACACAACCAAATAGCCATCGTCAAAACGATTCATGCACACATTTGGTCCAAATTCAATTCAGAAAAGGGTCACATTTGATTGAAATTTTGGTGTTATAATAACCACCGCCGTTTCTTTTATTTCTTTTTCTGGCTTCTCAATTTTTCTTTTCTTTATTTTTGTGTTTAGGTAACGCGCAAATATTATTAAGGCAGCTATTGTGTGTGTTTGCCAAACGCGAAAGAAAGAAAACAATTTCTATTCAAATTCGATAATTCGATTCACATTTTTTCACACATTTGGTCAATGAAGCCAAATTATATTTGCAAAGAAAAAAACACTTTTGACCCTTCTGCTGCCTTTCTAAATGAAAAGAAATTTTTTGAATGAAAATTAATGCAATCATGACTGTAATGATGATGATCAAAGATCAAGATCAAACCACACAGTCCACTCATATTTCATTGAATCTCTATTTGTCTAGGTGCAAACCAAATCAAATCAAACTTCTCTATAAATCGATAATTTGTTGTTGTTTGATTGTAAAAGTCAAAGTCTTATTTGCCAAATACTTTATTCAATTTTTTTGACCATTCATGAACAACAAAAACAACGACGACGACGATGAAAATCTTTTTGAATCTTTGATATTGGTTCTATAGGGGATAAAGAATGATCAAGGTTATTCAAGGCGAATAAAGATTTTAATATTTTTCTTATTTGATTTGATGATGATGGAGATAAGAATTAGATAATACCATTACAAATTTGTTTGGTCAGCGAGCTTGTTTTTATATGCATCATCTTTAATGTTATATTCTCAGGTGTTCACACAACAAGAAATGATTAACACCTGCAATACATTATTATTATTATTTTACAAGTTTTTTTGCCAACCAAGGTGTTTCTACCAACACCACAGCAGGGTATTTGATCAACAGAAAAAAACTTATCTCTTCAGGTGTTCACACTTTGCTTTTTTCTCTCAATATCGTTTGCCTTGTTGAGCAACAAGTTTCGATTGAAATGAATTTATTTTTCACGCCGATCATATCAATCTATTTGAACGGAAAAAATTTGTTCCTTTTTCCTTTCCTGGCGTAGAAAAAAATTAGTTTGTTGACACATGCTAAACTATAGTAAATTTATTTTTGAGATTTATAAGAATGTCAAGATTTGTTTCATTCAAATATTCGAACGATCAATTGATTGTGATGGTTGGTGTCGAATCTTCGATTGAATTCGATAGTTTTTTGAATATGAATTGAAATGGATATGATTCAGGTTTTCAAAACGATAATCCATATTCACTGTCTTCATAATACGCACACGCATTTTTTCAATGGAATCCATTATTGGCTGGCTGGAAATTTCATTCGGTTGATTAACATTGGATTTTGGAATCGAATTCATTTTATTTATTCAATTTAGGAAAATTATTCAATGTTTTTTATATTACAAAATATGAATTGTTGAAATAATTAATTTGATTTAGAATATTTCCCATGCTTCTTCGAATGCTGAACAGATTTTTGTACATGCCAATGCAGCTGATAACGGATATTGTGATATTGATACATCAGATTCAGTATAATCAACTTCAACATTACCATGTGCCATTGCACCAATCACTATGGCTATGGGTTGATTATCATTCGGCACAAGTTCTTTTGGTTTAACCAAGTTCGCTGATTTGAATGTGGTACCAATTCGACGACAACCAACCGGCAGATGCAAAGTGATTGGATTTTTAATCACTCTCATCAATTTATCGGATGAATTGGATGCCCGAACACTAAGTTTATGCAATAATTGCACCATTAAAAATGCAAAACGTTTAAATGTTCGTGGTACTCGGGTTTGTGGATTGATTTCGATCAACACATTTTGTTCACTATGAACATATACTTGCAGCAAACCAGCACGATTCAACGGACTATCAAATAACATCAATAAACATTGATGCAGAATATCCGGGCGACAAAACATTGGATCTTTTTTGAATTTTTTGATAAGATTTTGATGATCATCAGTGTTTAATAGTTCAAACTTTTCTTTATTTTTAACAATTTCTAAATTTGCCCGCTCCAATATGATAATCAAACGTTTTGATTGATTGGTAACATTTCTGAAACGCTTAGGATTGAATATTTTATCATTTGAATTGGTCATATTTTTCAATGAATCCGGATTATCATGATCATAATCCTCAATAGTCGTCAAAGGTTGCTCATTTTCGCCCGTTTCAATCAATTGTCCGCCAGAATTTTGTTGTTGAACATCATTATCATTATGGCCATCACCATGATCGTTGTTAAATTTTCGTTTGAAATTTTTCGACTTTTTGAATTTATTATTTTTTCTTTTGTCCATCGTTTTTCGGTAAAATCATAGAAAATTTTCAAAAATGTTTTCAAAAAAAATAAATTGATAAACACGTGTGCTGTTTACTGCCACCAGGTGACGCCGTTCAGAAACGACGTATTCGAAAAAATTGAAATTTTTGGCGCGGCCTGTTCAAAACAAAAACAGTGTGAAAACAAGAGACAAACTTTTATTGATTCTATCAATAATATTGAGGGAAAACAAATCATATATGGATTCTAATCATATAGAATTTAAATTTAATAATTTTTAATTTTCAAAACATTTCAATTGAAATAAATAAATGAAGAAACTTGATCCACAAATAATGGACGGATAAAGTGTTAAACAGTTGGTCGAATGAAATGACTGATAAAATCGATTGGTAATGGGAAAATGATTGTCGAATTTTTTTCCGCCGAAATTGTATTCAATGTTTGTAGATAACGTAGCTGTAATGCTGCTGGACTTTGGGCGATAACTTCGGCCGCTTCTTTCAATGCTCGTGCCGATTTTTGCTCACCTTCAGCAGCAATAACTTTAGCTCGGGCTTCGCGAGCAGCTTCAGCTTCGGCAGCCATCGCTCGTTGCAATTGTACGGGAAGTCGTACGTCTTTGCTATTATTTTGAAATAGAAAACATACAATTCTATCATCATCATTATCATCAAATCTCTTACATTTCTACACGTTCCACTTTGATTCCCCAAGCGCCGGTGCATTCATCCAAAACAGTCTATATTGGGAAATCAATTTTATGATCAAAAAATATCATTCTAACTATGCTGCATTACCTGCATGGAATTCGAGATTGATTCCCGATCGGATAGAATTTCATGTAAATTATGTGTACCCAACATGTTTCTCAATGTAGTTTGAGCCAATAAACGGGTTGAATGATGAGCATTCTCAACATTAGCCACCGAAACTGTTGCATTATGTACACGATAATAAACAACAGCATCCACCGAAACTGTTACCGAATCCTTGGTCAACACTTCTTGCGGTGGTACATCGAATGTTAATGTTCGAAGATCAACTTTGGTATAATGTTCGATACAAGGTAAAATGAAGAAAATTCCCGGCCCTTTTGCACCACCATGTAGTAATCGACCCTGTCAGTTGGATGATATTAAGGCAAAATAACAAATCACAACAAAACATACCAATCTGAAGATGACTGCTCGTTCATATTCCTGTACAACTTTAATACAAAAGAATAATGATAATGGAAATGTACAGGCAGCTATACCAATGGAAAACAATGTCAATATGACACCACAAACACCTTGATTGCTATCATTTTGTTCGCCAGCTATATTATGCAACACACAATTCAAACATCATTTCAAGATTAACATTAACATATTTTATCATCACTTGCCTTCAGCAAAGTTTATTTTCTGATTACTATCCTGCGACATACTTTAGGATTTGCAGATAATGTTGAATCAAAATTCTGTAAAATTTATTCACACCAATCTATTCCAATTGTTTGCTTTGTCACAACACCAACTGGCAACACTCTATTCGCTTCTATCAAGTTAGCTTAAATTTTGACGACAACAAAAAAGTAAATTACATTTAATAAATAATGGTGATATTGACATTGACGGTTGTTATTGGATCCGTTTGCCAAGTACACCCAATCATTTACTGCTTTCTGTTTGAGTGGTTGTGGTTCTTTATGGTGATCATTATTTTTTAAGAAAAATACAAGTTATGCAATACAAATGAAAAAAATGACATAATATAAAAATGGTAGATCTCATTTGATATACATAGTAAATAACAATCCATTTTATTGATCGTTTTCAATTAATCGATACAAGTTTTGACTTTATTATAAGGCAGTAGTGGTGCATTTATTCCGGCCATCATTTATCATTTAGTTAGTCATCAGACCAGAAATAAAATTGAACTTTATTTTTTCATGTTGATCATCCAACTTTTGCAAACCGAATCGATTGTTGGCCACCATGGAAACGCAGTGTTGTCTTTCGGTGTTTGATTCAAGTTTCATATGATTCATATCGATCCATATTGATAAATGGAAAAGTTGTTTAATTGGCTTTTTTGTATAAATGAATGATTTAAATAAAACGCAACGAAAAAATTGTAGGTGCAATTTACAAATACTTGAAAAACGATAATTCGGCTTATGAATATTCATGCGATGCTTTTTAGTAGATTTTTTTCAACATTTTTTGAAATTGCTGAAATTGTGTCAAATCATTCAATAGATCATCGCAAACATGAATATTTTCTCTCCGCTGTTCGCCAGAAGGTTTCAGATTTTCATTCAATTTGGGACATGAATTTAATAATAGTTCGCGTTTATTTTCAAAATTATCTTGAATTTTCTTCAAAGATTCAAAATATTTTTTTTCGCTTGAAAGCAATGGAACATGACTTTCCAAAGTTTGATAATTAAGCTTTTCCAATCGGCTGATACTGCGTTGTTCGTCGATTTCCTAAACAAAAGTCGATTGCTATTGAAATAATAATTTCAAAAAATAAATTTAAAAAAACTTACTTTACTCATTTTTGTTTATTCAATCAATCAATATTCGTCTGTCAATTTTTTCGAAAACAAAAAAACCATTTGACAAAAAAAAAATTTTCGTTTGAAGAAAATTTTACGCGCAATTGTTCATAAACGACGTGACGAAATATTTTTTGTCATTCGAATTGATGTTCGAAAATGATTCAATCAATTCAAAACTAATTTAATTACCCTGTTCGATTTTGAGTTTTATTATCGGAAACAAACAACGTCTCAAAACACCATTCTGATAATGGAGATGGGCAACTCGAGATTTCTTGGATTTAATAAACTGTGTATGGGACTGAATTGTTTTTAATGAGACTGGACCAATTTAAGAAATTGGAAAAAAAATATGAAAAAATATTATTTTGGGCATCATGGTAGCAGGAAAGAAACATTGACCTTCGAATCTAAATTTTAAAATTAAAAAAAAAAAATTTTTCTCCAATCTAATTTTGAATTGAATTTTCCTTGTTTTTTTCCTTATTTGAAAACAAAAAATAATTATTCAATAAAAAAATCTAAATTAGAGTTAACAAAATTGAATAATCTGATTTCGAATGTGAACCGTAACGGCAATAATGACCAAGCGTAACAACCAATAGATGTCACAATAGGATTCATCATCAATAATATTCCCAAAAATTCACACATTGTGATGTGTGTTGGGGATTGGATTGGATTTTGTTTAGAATTAGTGTGAATTTTGTTTTGTTTGACTCTCTATTCACACGCACATCATACGCACATTCATCCAATAGTAACTGTATTATATTTTCAATTAGATTGTTGTTTACATGTTCGTTTGAAGTGATGATGGCATGAAATCGCAATCAAAATCCAATGAATCGATATCTTATCAATGGATTTGTTGATATTATAAATTTGTTATTATGATGATGATTATTGTGAACAAAAATAATCGAACGTTTGATTAAGTGAATAGAATTTTGTTTGAAATAAAAATGTCTTCGGAAGAAACATCGATGATATCCGAAAGAGAAATATATCATAATTTTTATGCCATAAATGAACGACCAGTTGATGATATATCGTTGCAATTTTTCTACAAACCACATACCATCACATTATTAGTTGTTTCCATCATAACCATATTTTATTCGGCATTCACGCGTGATGAATCTTCACTGCAAAATAATATCTGGTCCGGCATTCGGTGTTTGGTTTTATTTTTCCTGGTCATTTCATTGCTGACATTTCCAAATGGACCCTTCACCCGTCCACATCCAGCATTTTGGCGTTTAGTTTTTGGTATCAGCGTTCTATATTTATTGCTAATAATCTTCATATTATTCCAGAATTATCATACAGTCAAAGCAATCATGTATTGGTTCTATCCAGATCTTAAACATTTTCGAATCGATTCGGAAAAGGTAATGATGAAATGATCCGTGATAAGGATGCTTATTCAATGATTTTTATGCAGGAATATGCCGTCGATTGTCATAATTTAACATTGGAACGTTTTCTCGAACACTTCGATGTTTTTGCTTTGGCACATTTTTTGGGATGGGTATTGAAAGCATTGTTGTTACGTCATTATGGTATTTGTTGGACAATATCGGTCACGTGGGAAATTACTGAAGTTGCTTTCGCTCATTTATTGCCAAATTTCGCCGAATGTTGGTGGGACTCATGGTTATTGGATGTTATCATCTGTAATGGTTTAGGAATCTATTGCGGTATGCTTATATGTCGAATGCTGGAAATGCGTACATACAAATGGGAAAGCATCAAGTACGTGATATTTTATTTACAATTATCCTTCTCTAAACATTCACCGTAGAGATATTCAATCAACATCGAAGAAGATACGTCGTGCGATTCTACAATTTACACCCGAATCCTGGACACCGATTCATTGGTTTGATCCGAATTGTACATATATGCGATTTCTATCCGTTACCCAACTAGTCATCTTCTGGCAATTGACTGAATTGAATACATTTTTCTTGAAACATATCTTCGAAACACCACCTGCACACCCATTAAATGTTGGTCGTATTGGTTTGATTGCATTGATGGTCGCACCATCAGTTCGTCAATATTATACCTACAGTACTGATACACGTTGCAAACGTGTCGGCACACAATGTTGGGTATTTGTTGCCATTGTTATTACTGAAACATTAATTTCCATCAAATTCGGTCTCAGCATTTTTGCTCAAGCACAATTATGGAATATTTTCATTTGGCTATTGATACAGGTAAATGTCATTCGATTACACTGCATTAACTAACGTGGATTTGTTTATAATTGATTTAGTTTGTAATCAGTATATCGTGTGTATCGCTTTGTGTTATTTGGGCCAAATATCGATGGAATCATGTTAACAATATTGTGGAAGAATATTTCATTCGATCAAAAGATAATTTTCTCAATAAATTTGATCAAAAAATTCGTTACGACGTTAACACTGCTGATAATAAGATAAAATACTCGTGATTAGTTAATTTATAATGAAATGATTATTTTTATTCCAATTACCAACACCTTGATTTAGTTATTAAAAAATTCAATTCTTTTTTTGATGAAAAATTTACTTGAGTTACTTGACATGTATGAATCATTTCATTTCATTTACAATTTCGTCATGTGATTCAATTTGAAAACAATCAAACAATGTTGATTCAATTTTTACGAATTTTTCAAAAATCTACCAAATTTGGTCCGTTTCAATATGCATACCGAAAAATTAACCAGCGAAATGTTTTGCCAAATAATAATGATAATGAATTGATCAAATTTTCCAAGGAACTTGAATCTATTGGCAAGTAAGGAAGAATTTTGTTTTTGTCATTGTTCCTTAAGTGATTAGTTAATTGTTTAGATGCAATGCTCTGGATACACTCAATGCTGATAATGTGGAATTGCTCAATGAAATTCGACCCAACCTGAAAAAATCATTCAACCTTGCTGCCTATGTGAATGTATCGGAAACATTGCAACAACTAGTCAAATTGAATGTTGATTTATCATTGATTGAAAAGGATGATAAACTTGCATCATTCATCGTTCGTTGTGATTTTGAACAGGATATTCAACCATTGTTGAGGTTTTTATTGGATAATGGTCTGAACATTAATCAAATGGGTGAAGTTCTCACTTCAAATCCATATCTATTTACGGTAAATTTCCATTTGATATGTCATTTATGTTTATTGATTTTTTTCTCAAAATGTTAGATTCCATCAGAAGATTTAAATGTTCACATTAGTTATTTCAAATTTCGAAAGTTTACTCCACAAGATATCACTGGGTTTTTCGTTAAATATCCAAAATTATTCAGTCTGAAAATTCAAACTATTGATCAAAATTTAGCTGATTTGGGTGAAGAATATCGGCTTACTGCCAATGAAATTCGACATATTGTTCGAAGGCATCCACGAATCATATCGATGAGTAATCATCAACTGAAGGTTTGTTTGCTTTGTTTTTGCATCGGCTTTTATTATGGCTAATTGTTTTTTTTTCTCGCTGCAAACAGAAATGTACGTTTGTTTTCGCCGAACAAATGGGTTTCAATGAGGATGAAATTCGTTCATTGATTATAAGAAATGCGGTTCTTTGGACCAAACAAGTGAATCGAGATTATCCAAAGGATATTGTACGCTCATTCGAATATGTCAATACAACCATGCAAATCAATCATGAACAAATATTGAAATTTCCACTAATATTATTACGTCGTGTACGTTTGATACGTGAACGTCATCTTTACCTGAAATCGTTGAATCGCGATCAATATGATCCTACTAAACCATTATATGTTCCACTTGGTGCATTTTTTCAAATTGACGATGCACAATTCTGTATTGAATATGCTAAAACCTGTATCGATGATTTTAATAGATTTTTGAAAACAATTTAAATAAATTTTTTAAAAAAGTTTAGATTTTTTATTTTCAATTAGAATTAGATCATGTTTTTAAGCAATACATTAATCTTATCCTCACGGTTGCCAAAATCACCACCTTCAACATAATGGGTAACCTTTTTGCGCCAACCACCACGTGGATTATTCAGTTTAAAATGCCAGAAAAAGTTATTGGCATACTTGAAATTTGGTCCAACCGTATAGATTTCATGGATCAAATCTTCCATACAAATGATACCCAATTTTCCCAGCTTTTTTTCAATAATAGAATTGTCGGTCAATGGGATTCGTTGCCCGTTAATTTTACCGAAACCACGCTTGTAAACCAAATCACGAATATTTTTCAACGATGGGTAACCCCAAGTAATGTATGGTTCGGCAATTCGAAGCATATTGATTGTAGCTTTGTTCAACTTGACAAATACACCATTATTGATTTGTCTCAATCGGAAAAGTTGAAGCACTTTTCTTGGCTTTGGTGGAACACCATTGATACTATTTGGAAAGAAAAATTAATAAAAGTTCATCAATGAAACTAACATTACCCTCGAGTTCGAATGACAAAAGCTAATTTAGCTTCTGGTGGAACATAAAAATTGCCATTTTCTCTTGCTTGACGCTTTAAACGGATTACGGCACGTTCTTTTTGTCGATATTCTTTCACATATTTCTCGGCACGTTTAAAAATGAGAGCTTTTTTAGCCTGGCGATCTTTTCGGTGTTTGATCGTTTCCAAAATCGATTTAGCTTTTTGTTCTTCACGTCGTTTACGTTTTTTAAGAATAGTTTCGGGAACAGTAGGCAATTTGCCTGTTGAACTCGGTTTTGTTTGACTATTGGACATAATTTGATGGTTATTTTAATTTGACAAACAATAAAATCAACAAAATGCTTACGTTTGGGTCATGTTTTCGGCTTTCAACGTGTGTTGTTGTCCGGAAGAAAGAACAAGCGCAGGAAAGTGTGCAAACACGATTGAATTGGTGTGTGGCATGCTTTAAATTTCGCATGCGCATTTCGAATGTTCATCATCAGCATTGTTCATAAACAATGTTTTTTTTTGGATATTTTTCATGTTTTTGATTTTCGTTCAATTTTCGGTGATCAATGTTGTTGAAAGAATGTCTTCAAGATTTTTGCGAGAAATTCTGAATAAACCAAGATTACCAAGTAGAGATATTCCCCAATATATTCGGGATAGAGCTACTGGTACATTGGGCAATGGCCAGCAAAAACCAGCATTAGTTTGGCTATATAAAAAAAATCAAATACGAAAAAGATTTGCAACATTTGGAAAAAGTTCTGGTAATTACTTCATTTACAAATGATATTTTGAAAATTCCTAACTACTTTCACCTGTCATTCATTCATTGAGTAGGTCTAAAACCGGGTATTTGTTGGCCGAGTAGAGATGAATTAGAATACATGAAACAATTTGATCAAACATTCGAAAAAAGTATCCAGACAATGCAGGAAAATTTATTGCAAACTAAAAAAGCTGAACAGGAAAAACGGCTGAAACGAGAAAAACAAATTGTTGCCAACCTAAAGAAATTACCCAAAATGAAAGAAGAATTTTGGCAAAATTATCATAATTTATATTCGGAAATTGAAGAGGAAAAGACGAAAAAGACTAAATTGATACAAGATGTGCGAGAATATCTGGGCTATGATATCGAACCAAATGATCCACGCTTTGAAGAAGCATTGGCCAAAAAGGATGAAGAAGCTAAAATAGCTATGCGTGCTGCACGTAAATTAGAAAAACAACGACAACATATGGAAATGTTACAGGCATTGGTTTCGGAAGCATTGGAAAAAGAAAAATCCACCACCAACAAAGCAACCGAGGACCGAACAAAAGATCCGAGTAGTTCGGAAAACTAGTCCATAAATAAATCAAAATCATATTAAACTTTATTGAGAAGAGAAAAATAAATATTGTCGAATAAGATATATTCGTGCATTTTGATAATAAAAAATAGAAAATAGTTTAGCAAATCCAACCAAAATGAAGGATGCATCAATAATAAATCCATTATATTGATATATACTGCAATTTGTTATTATTTTATGAAAGCGATTTATCTTCAGGAATCGTTGGCGATGTAACCGGTGTAGTTGCCGAATTTTCTGAATTGTTAAGGGCTTCATCGAAATTGGTGGTACTGCTACTACGAGATCCAATCTTGGACTATTAGGAGAAAAGAACTGTGAATATTATTGATCAATAATTAAAAACCGTACCTTGACATTAGTAACAGCGTAGCCAACTTTTTCTTCAAACGATTTGAAAGCGTTCGTATTTTTAACTTCACCAAGTTTACGTGCTACCGAACCAAGTGTTCCCATCACTGATTGATGGCCAACTTTGACTGCTTCACTTGTTCTCTGATAACTATTTTGTTAAATTGAAATGAAAACAATATTCAAATATCAATATTATCGCAAAAGGGTTAAAATTCATCAATTCAAACTAAGTATTATTACAGGAAAGCAAGCAACTAAAAACATTCTATAGAATCCTATTTTGAAATGTGCAAACATGCAAAACAATTCAACAATTTCAATCACATCAAACATACGAAGGAGCTGCTGCTGTTGACAGTTTGGCCATAAATCCTGAGCTGTATTTTCAAAAATGTTTGTTTGCATGTTATAATCACAACGAAAAAATAGGCAAAAGCAGAGGAGAAAAACAATTAAATTAATTAACACTGAAAAGTCTCAACATGGATTCTTTTGTTGTTGTTTGTTTTCAAGATGACAAAAAAAGAAATGATATCAAACAAATCAAAGACATACGCTGTTGTTTCTTGAATATTTTTCAGGTTAGTTCCCACTTCATCACGAAGTTCTTTCCAAACAGTGATTCCTAATTGTCTTTTTATATCATTCGAACGTTTTATTTTGGCCGTCAATACTGTACGCAATGTTTGTATTTCTTCTTCAGTCTTTTTTTGTAAAATGAAACAAATTAATCTCAATTACAAGCAATTTCTAACAAACCTTGGCTAATTCTTTTCGAAGTTCTGCTTCAATTTTGGCTCGTTGTTCAGGATCGGTATATTGGTCCAAAAGTTCATTGCCTATTTGATGAAAAAAAAACATTGGAAAAATTAATAGTCTGAGCAAAAAATATATTACTCATTTCTTCAATCTCTTCAGCTGAAGCGATACGACGAAATGCTTCACATTTTTCATGATCAATCAGTGAATTATCATTATTGTGTTTGATGGAATGATTAGATATTTCATTATAATCAATAGAATCGGTTTCATCATTATCAAAATGATTCGATAATAGTGCTATTTTATTATTATCACTGATATTATTCTTTTCATTCACATTTTGTCTATTCGAATTTTTCTTGGCCATTTTTTCAACAATAATTTATCAATGATGTGGTCAAGCAAAGAATAACTGTATCAATATAGGCTGCCGCCGTGTCGCCACACAGTCAAAAAAGAGTTGGATGGATGTTTATAGACTTCCACTTATCATCATCATAATAAAAACTGAATTCCTCACATACGCCAATACAACTATCTATCTATCCTATTACCGTAAATTTCTTACCTTTCTCTCGTTTTTGTTGTTGTGGTTGTGACATTATAAAAGCAATTTCTTTCTATTGGAAAAAGGAGCCACAAGAAAAAGAGAAAATAAAGAACCTGTCTCAGCTTACAGGTGTTGGCGTACACCAAGCAGCTATTTTTATATGCGAATAATAATGAAGCAACAAAAGAACAAATGCAACGGATCGAAAAGCAAACAATGCTGCCTGGGTTGATTGTTATTCAACTGCATAATTAATTTATTTCCATTTTTTATTGATTTCATAATTCAATTATAAATATCATTAACCACAATACTAAATCGAAACTTGTCAATGTTTTCATTTTTTCGGAAACAAACCAAAACAAAACACATACCGGTTTCGCTGTCCAAATAATCGTCATTATTTTCCATCATTTTGTTGTTGTTGGAAAAATTTTCCAGGAAAAAAATTATAAACAAACAAGGAATTGATAGCAAACAAGGGAATGTTTAAAACAAAACAATATCAGTGAATGAATTTAGCCAACCACCAAACTAATAAATGATGACAAACACGAAAAAACAATTGGGCAAATATTTTATTACAAAAAAACGAAATGACAGTGAAAATTGTCGATGATAAAAAACAAACAAAAATTGGATAAAATAGAAAATCACTAATTCCGTATACAACATTCAACATTCTAAAAAACTAGCAGCATCAATGACAACATGAATCATTGCTTTCATACGGCTGATACGCACCACAGTAAAAAAAATAGTTATCCCTTCAAATAATACGTACTCATTTGAATTGGGAAAAAATTTGAATTTGGTTTAATCAATAATAATCTTCCATTTCGGTGCGAATATATTTATAATATATGGATAGAATATAAGATGTGAAAAATACAATTGGCATTCGATATTCATATAAATATATTGTAAACAAATACAATTGAATAATGGACCAATCGGCAACAAATATCAAACCAGAACCAAATAGAACTGGATTTAGATATTTACTCAGTATTAATTGATTTAAATTTCTATTCGCCATATAGAAACCAAATATCAGTATTAAAAACCTAACGATTCCAAAAATGGCAAGCGTATGCAGAATGCGTATAACAATATCATCATCACCGACCATCAAATATTCCATAATGTAGGAATATTTTCTTATTAAATGAACCAATGCTTCCAATTCGAATATTGCAAATCCAATGGCCAGAAATTTTTGCATGTAAAATATTCTGGCATTGTATTCCTATGGGATAACAATTTTTTAGTTGGAAAAAATCAAATAAATAATAATGAGATTAATTACCGTTACATTCGGATACTGAATTATAGCAAGTGAATAGAAAAAACAAAACAGGTAATAAAAGAGAAAATAGAAACTATCATATAAACAAAAACTACTCGTTTCGCCGGATAATTTGAGATAAAACCATAGGATCAAACTAATTAGATTAATCGTGGCCAATGAAATACAGGATGCATTCCAAATAATTTGTTTTGTCATCGTGATCATTACGATGATTTGGCGTTATTCACCCAAATATTCATATACATTTTATTCATTTTCATTTAAATTCGATTTTTTGAACAAACCAATTTATTCGAATTCAATCCAGAATGTCCTGTTGACATTTTCCAACGCCAGATGGCCCACTTTTAATAAAAATTTGAAAATTCATCCATCACCACATTTGGCATGTGTCCATAACACTTTGGTGAGAAAATTCGTCAGAATTTAACAAGAACTTGTTGACATCAGAGATTGTTTTGTCATTTATCGAATAATTTTCTCACGTGCACTAACCAATCAGAAAGACTGGAAAATTTCCAATGTTTCGATTGGAATAAAATCAATCATTAATAATAGCCTTATTGATTGTTTTGCAAATAATCATTGATACATTTCAAAACTATAATAGAGATTGTTCATCAAGATTAATTCTACAATCAAATAATAAATTGATAAGAATCTCTCTCAAATGCTTCTTTCCCATCCACATTTTTTCCACAATCGATGTACTTGAGAAAAAGTCATGGCCATAATAAATAAAAAAAGGGTAAAAATTCCAAATTCAGCATTTCTTCATTGATTGTCAATAAGATAATTGTTAATTAATTTTTTTGAAAAATCATAAAATAAAGGTTATTACCCAACCAACCACGATTGCATCACACAATTCAATTACGAATATGGTGATATCAGTATCATCATCATAATCAATCGATATAATTATTGAAAATTTTCCATTCCTTTCCACCTGTGTGTCTGAAATAATTAATTCAACTGATTTTTTAAGGTTTTCAGAAAAAAAACAAAACGAAAAAACTTTTTTTATTAATTCTACATTGATTATGATGATGATGACGACCAAAATGTACTTGTCAAACAAAACGAAGAGGAAAAAGAAGAAAAACTTCTTGTTGTATCGTGTTTTTGATGATGATCACAATAAAGATTATTGTTTATCGATTTGATTCAAAAGGATTTTAAAATATATTTTTTCAATTTAACAATTTTCATTTTCTGATTTTAGTTTCACTTGATTTATCAATGACTTTCAAATGTAAATGGTGATAAGGATCACCATAAAAAAGAAGAAAAACAAAATGATTATGGTTCAAGGATTATGACATAATCATGATGACAATATACATTTTCAACACTTCTCCATGAACCAGACCTAGCAACAGGACAATGTTAATATCTTGAATATGATTAATTAGTTAACTCATTCAATACCACATTAATCAAATCAGTTGTTTTGATTGGCCATGAACCAAAACTTCATCGTCGATGACAGAATCTTGTTTTAAAATCAAATTGTAATCAAAAAGTAAGGAAAAAATAATGTAATTTCAAAGGAAGAAATGGATAGCATAATTACTGGAATTAGTTTGCGACACAAAAAAATTAGTACGATTTTGCTTCACTTGACAAATTTTAAAATTTAAGTTTGATGTAAGCTGATTAAAATGATGGAGATCGTTGTATTGATTGATTCAAGTCCCAACATAATCATGCATCCGATGAATGTTGGATTTGAATTTGAAGTTTTCAAAATTTTATTATAGTCTTTTAGCATATGGTTTGTGGTCATGGCCAAGAATTTTTTTATTGTCAAAATCAGAATCAAATCCTGCAGAAGCAGTTGTGTACATTATCATATACGTTTACAGTGTTTTTAAGCTTTCAAATGGAAATTGAATTTGTTATGATGATTCTCTCCCTATGCTTTTTCTCTTGCTCTGATGGATTTAGATTTGTGTGTGTTTGATTATCAAACATAAATCACTAATGGAAACGAAAATCATAATTCACATCAATGATAATCACATGTCATTTTTTGAATGTTAAACAATTTAATTTTAGTTGTTTTATCCAGGATATTCCATTATTGACTTATCAACAAGCGCCTCAATTCAATTTGAGTCCTAAATATGGTATCGGTCATCATCGGAAACCAACATGAACAATCTACCTACAGAATGATTCATTGATTGCTTCCAAGAAAATGATTTTTTGGTTTCATTGGAAATTCAATTAAATATTATTGAATATCATTACTATTTTAACCAAATCAAATCAAATTTACGATGATTTTTGATTAGAATCAACAATTTATTTATGTAACAAAAAAGGATAAAAACATATTAATCAATTCAATGGGAGAATGTCAATGTTGAAACTATAATCAATGATGATTGAATATCGAAATTTATTCCATAGCAACAATGATGCTCATATCATCATCTAGATTTTATTTTATTCTTCTTTCTTTCGTTTGATTGGGTAAAAATCTTGAACATAGAGAAATTGGGTGGGTTAAACAACAACAAATGTAATTTTCTAATTAAATTGTTATCTCATTCATCATTCCCAATTATGATGCAGGTTTTTTGCAAATTTAATTCAATTTCATTCACTCTCTCACTCTCACTCTAACTCTCTCTCACGCTTGTCGTTTTTTGCCGTAGTGATATGAATGATGATGTTTGCACGAATGTTTTTTTAGTCGATCAGAGAAGAAACACAATTTGATGTTTGTCATTCATAAGCATTTCATTCAAATGTATTAATGAATGAATGATCGATTTTCAGAGCGAAACGAAACAGCAAAAGAAACTTATATTGCATGCTTGAGGTAAGCAAGTGCAAATGACTATAATGTATTGGGATAATTTAAAAAGAGAAATGTGATTTTTTCCTTGTTTTTTCTGGTTAGTTTCTTCAAACTAAAAAAAAAATTGATTGTACCTTGATTTTAATATGAGAATAAAAAGAATTGACACACCAAAATGATTGGGTAATAATAGATTTATAATTGATAATAAAATATATAAATAATAATTAAACATAATCATAATAAAATAAACATAAAAATCATTAAATAATTGAATCGTTGAACGATGAAAAATTTTCAAATTTCTAAAATTTTCATGTTCGTCGATAATTGTTGTCTCTTGAAAAAAATGAATGAATGTTATTTAAGTATTTTTTGATTCAAGCATATTCTCAGTGCCATTTTCGATATGCGATATTTACTGATTGATTGGGCCAGTGATGATGATGATGATGTTTGATATTTATTAATGAACGTTATGATAATAAAATGCAACAAACAACCAATATCAAACTGACCATCAACAACAACATTATCATTTAATTCACAACGCATAAATTAAACGGACAGAAGTTTGATCTGAATGTAAACATGATGATGTTGTTTTGATTTCTAAAATAAGGATCTGATATGGTGATGACGTAGCAGTGTTTTTTCAAATGAATTTTAATTGAGTATTTTTGCAGTTTTTTATTGTTTTGTTTGAATTCGGAGGTTCAATAAAATGGGTCAATCAGTGGATATGATATCGCAATTAGCACCGGGTTTGATATCTTGTTATCATCCATAATAGCTATAATTAATCAATGGACTTTTACGATATGACTTGTTCACTTTGTTGACGCCATTATAATAGGTATTCCATTTTTTGTTGTTGTTAATATTCCACGATGATACTTTTTTGGGTGCTTGATAATAATAATTTTTAGCTACTGATGGTTTAGCCAGCCATTTGTTAATTTTACGTGCAGAATAATTAACCGTTGGTGCAACTGGTGGTAATTCAACATAAGAATTACTACCCAATGGATTCCATTCGACACCAACACCACTAACGGGTGGACTAACATTTTGTAATTCTTCACCCTTCCAATTGCCTGGAGGATCATAATTACAAACGGTGAATGTTCCACCTTTGCTACCTTTACTGATTGCTTGGCCACAACCGATTCGTTTCGAACCTTTCCAAACCTTTTTTTTTGATTGAGGAAAACGAAAAAAGTTGTTGATAAAGAAAAAGATTTTTGTTTTTCGATTGTTGAAAGAATGAAAAAGTATACTAACCATTTGTGAGAAATGTCCATTTCTTGGATTAATATTCGGTCGACGGAAATTATATGTTTTCCATTCATCATACCATAATTGCAATGGTATACGACAGTCAATAGGTTCCTGTGAATTCCAGGCCAGATTTTCACCAACATCCATATTATCATGGTGATAAAAATTCGTTCCATCTTTTTTAGCCAATTCGATTGCTCGATAACGTGCAATTTGTTCGAGCTAATTTGATGATAACATGATTATTAATTGATGCTTTACTTATTTTAATGTTGTTGCATATATTATCAATCGACCATAATTAATTATCAGTAATTATTTTCCCATTAATTAATTACATATCAAGAGAGATGATCAAGTTTTTGAACGAATTCATGAGAAAAAACAACTTTATTGCAACGCACAACGTTGTCATTAGGTTTTCAAGGATCATCAAGAATTTTGTTTGCCACTATCCTTCACTAATCATTTGAAAACATTATTTTCAAAAATTGTTTTGTTTATTGTTAGTCTTGTTCTATGGATAAGGTAATCTAATAATAAATCGGGAATATTGAGACAATTTTTAAACAAATTTCGAAATGATTTGATTTACGTTCCAATCAATCCAAATGCAAAACGAGTAATTTATGCCTTTTTCATCATGCTGATAATCTATCAATCTACAAACAACTATATAAATTTAAAAACCTTGAAAAATTGTGTGTGTGAAGAGCATCATCATGACAGAAATGTGTTTTGCATGATAAATAAAACTTTAAAATCAAAATAATTAAATTGAATATAAACAAATTAATAATTTGGTTTTGTTTTTGAAAAACATCATGATCAAACAATGATAAAGAATGATTCGTTTAACCATCAATAAATATTGTCATCAATAATTGAAACATGACTGAAACGAAAAAACTTATCATCTATCAAATAATCACTTTCAATAACTAAATCGAATAATAATAATAATCTTTGTTCATTAACGGAATAACGAAACGTTAATTATAATTAATCACTTGTTGCACTTTGATTTTCACAGAAAATTAACTGTCAATTATATGTCTTATTAACACCATGTTCTCATCATCATCACTATTTCTTCCCCTCCTGATCGAGAAAGAAAGACAGAAATTTCAAAGAAAAAAATCTCACCTCATGACTATAAGTCAATGGTTGTGCCCCATGTAATTGGCGAAAATAATTATGCCATTCAAGACATTCTTGAGTCAACTGGGTGTTTGTCGTTTCGATATATTGGTTATCATAAAAATTTTCATTTCCTTTCTGAAATATAACACCAACCACTATGAGAAGAGAGAAAAATGAGAAATTAAAAAAAAATTTTAAATGAATGAAAAGCTACTAACCATTTGATATTGAAAAAACTAAAATCAATAAACCGGATAAATATGTTGAAATGAACATATTTTGTTGAGATTTTTTATCCATTTTTTGATTGTCAAACAAACAAACCAAAAAAAGAAGAATCACCGAAAAAAATTTAAAACAAAAAACAGATTATTTCAGCAAATAAATCTCAAGCAGCAAACAAACAGCGAACAGAATCATTATCTGCCTGGATGGAACGGTTGCTTTTATATACCAATCAGGTTGTCATTCAATAATGCTTGACAACCAAACGAAATCTCATATCGTCATCATCATCATCATATCTTTGATTAAACATCTTTTTTCAGAATCTTCATTCTACATTGATGATGGTGGTCTGTTTTACAATTCTCAATTGGTTGTATCAACCTTTTTTCTTTTTCGATTTACACTCATTCATGCTAGCATCTATGAACCAATGATTGATTCCATAACGATATGATGATGATGCTTGATCTCACTTTCACTTTGCTAATGTTCGAGATTATTCAGAGATAAAACAAACTATTTTCTGTTGTTGCCGATTGATGCTTGCTATATTGAAATCAAAAAGAAGAAGAAATTCAAGTGATGCTGAAGTATGGCAAGAAGAGAGAGAATGAATTTGATGTTTGGAAAATATTAATTTTTATTATTATATTCTCTATGTGTATGAGCATAAGTATCGCCTCTTGCAATTCGTTTTGGTTTTTGGCAATTTTTTATTTTTATTTTTCAAACCAATAAAATAAATTTGATTTTTTTTTAAAAAGAAATCCATACATGTTGCCTATATAAAATGTTTTTTTGTCCTTTTTTAAATTGAAAAACTTTTAAACGTTCAAATCAGGTATTGAAAGATTAATTTTGATTTGAAAACAACAAAGTAATTTGAAATTGACAAAAGATGATGTTATCAACGATAAAATTAAATTAATTCATTATTGATTGGAATCAATAATTTGAAAGGGCCGTTAAACATGAGAAAAATATGTTTACACTTTGTTTGTTGTGTTGCACCTTAAATCATAATAATGTTGTGATAATAAAAATTGACAATTTTCTTTGTCCAGCATAAATTAATTCATTCATTGCATCCATGTTGTCAGTGATTTTGGTGCGATAATAATGTACAAAGCATAATGTTTTTGCTTCAATGGCCTATACAACAATCTATAACAATCAATAACTATCTCGTGATTGATACTAATCGATCAATAAGGTTTCTCGTCGTTGACCAAAACAAAAATCCAAATTACATGATCAAATTCGATGATTTCATTGCAATTCAATCATTTTCTAAATTTATTTTTTATTTGTTTTTCAGTGCTGCCTACATTTACATAACACAATAAATTTATGACCAATTCAATAAAAAGTGATAAAAACAGGGAATCACTCACCAATTCATATGGATGATTGGCACGTGAAAATTGCAATCAAAATTAATTTGAATAACAACAGCCATAATAAAATAATATTGTTTTTGGTGATCAAAAATCAAATTTCCAACATTATCGGTAATCAATATTTATTTTCCACACAATTAAGGGCTTTTCTCGTCATTCAACGATTTCAAATTTAAGGTGCAAAAACCAAGAAGAAAATTTTAATTTAAAATTCAAATCATGTTCGTTTCGAAATTGCATCATATCAATTTCGCCTTCCTTTAATTATGTTATAATTTCTTGATGCAACAATCTCATAATAGTTTTTTTTACTTATAAAAAAATTTATTATCATTTTTCGTTAATTTCGAATAACAATAATAATAAGGGCATAAATAAATAGAAAATCTTCAAACGATTTGTTTCTGCTGTTTGCTGTTAATATGTACAAAAATATCATGATAACTTAGTAATTAATAAATATATCATTTCATCGGGCAAACATTACAAAAATCAAATCAGAGTAATTTAGGACGGAAGATGAGTATAATGAGAAATTTGTTTTTTCTATTTATCACGATTCATCTATATATAAGTGTGTGTGTGTTTATGTTCAAGAAAGGATGGATGAATGGAAAAGTTTGAAACAAATCAATCAATGAATCACATGTACAATAATTCGGACTTGAATATAATGAAATAAAATTAAAGTATAAAATTAAATAAGTAAAAATGGCCAATTCTTGGTTTGATATTTGTTGTGAGTTTGGTTCATTGATTTGATTTGATTGGACCGAGTGAAGTTTTTGAATTTGGATCGATTTTTAATTGAAGAAACCATTTTTCCCGTTATTCTTGTCCCCGAAAAAATAAAATTCCATATAATATCACAAACCATCCGAAGAAAATGCATCAATCTTCTTAGAAATTCTGAGATCATTCGGATTGATTTGATTTGTCGAGTGAGAATTTTGAAATAAATAATTTAATATAATGAAAATAACATGGATTTCCAGACACTGTTCAACAATGTTTTTGTTGTTGATCGATATGGATTTTTCATTTTTTTGATTTCAGTTCTTTTTCAATGGCCATTCATTCATATATCGGTCTCCACACAGTTGACCAAACTCTTCAATTCTAATGCCGATGATTGTCGTGAATGATCAATTAAAGAATTACTACTACTTTTGCTATCAACAAAATCACTTGTTGCACTTTCAATACGTGGTATCATTTTCATTGTTTCACTATTTAAATACATTTTTTCATCCAATTTTTTCGCAGCTTTTTCAGTATCATATTCATTGAAATAGGTACTCTATTCATATCAGGAAAACATTCATCAATCACGGTATAAGCAAGCTATATTGATAAAAGTTATTTTACCTTTTTGCTGAATATAATCCAACGGAAAAAACCATAAATGGATAATAACAAACCGCCAACAATTAATGAGATTAAAATAAATTTGACTATTTTGACTGGAGTAAATAATCGAAGCTTGAGACTTCGGGCTGTTTCATCAGACATTCCTAATTTCTACAAGTGAAGAAAACAAACCATCAGAATTCATTTCAACATTAATTCGAAACCTACTTTATAGCCCCAAAAAATTGGTATGTAAAGTTCATCGCGTAATTTATTAAAACCATTCATATTTTCATTTGGAACAACTCTTATTGACATTTGTAGTCGACTATCACCATGAATAACTAATCCCATTGTCTGCGTTGAAAGAGAGAAAAACAATTGTAATAAGAAAAAATACACCATTTCAATCAATTCAATTACCGGTTCAATATGTAATTCAGGTCGATGCTTTTGTGGATCAGGTTTAAGACCTTCGATTTCGGCAGTAACACGAGGATCAGCACCCAAAAAATGTGGCAATGATATTATTAATGGGATACCTTCTTGACAACCTGCTAGATCAAATATTCCATCAACACATCGTCGTTCAGCTAATACTTCATCTTCTTCAATACAAAAACATTCATTATCAGGATTAGTATGACGACCGGCTAGTACGCTATCCGGCGCGGAGAATAAATATGTTTCGATTCCTTTATATGAGGATTTTTCCTGAAATGTAATGAACAACGATCTAAAGCGAGGCAACAAAGAACAAAAAAGACAATTATTATTATATTTCACACAACATCCATCCATCAATCACATCAAGGTTAATTTGGCGCATAGAGAAAAAGACTGATCTGACTGATATCATATTACATTACCGAGAATTCTGTGTTCAAAAAAAGCTAAAAATATTTTTCTCCCTGCCATCCAAATGTCAAGTTCATTTCATTTCATTCATTTTTGATTTATTTCAATGAACAAAATTGTTGTTCTTGTTTGTAATGTTAAATATATGGGCAATAAATGTTTGCTCACCTGCAAATATCGGGAATAAAAAAATCCAGACGATCAGTAGTCGAAACACCGGCCGGGAAAATAGTACCATCCGTACCATTGATAGCATTACAGGAATCTTTTTTCCACATATTCAGTTTTCTGAAATATAAACAAAAACATTAATAAATAAATACATTTTGAATTTGAAAAAATTACGTTTTATTATTCCATGTTTTGATATGGCCAAATTTTTGTTGCGTACCGGCAAAACCTGTATACATTTCATATGGTCCATCCGGCGTCCCATTACGCCCATTCATGATGCCAAATGAATTATTGGGGAAAAATTTGGTAGGCATAATATCGAAACCAAATTTATTAAACATATTATTATATGATTCGGCAGTGTCAAGTATATTTAAATGATAACCATATAATAATTCCCGAATTGTGGTATTAATAAATAATGTTTGATTATGGGATGTGAAAAAATCATTTATGCCACGATAGGAAAAATGCGAAAAAAGATTTAAACCGAATGAATTTTCCACAAAATTCGGTACAAGCGTGCTCATAGCCTATTTTTGAAAAAATGAATTAATTTTCAAAAACAAATTCCAATCAAATACATACAGCAAATGGCACATTAACAACAGTTATATTGGCATCCAGTGATAATTTCGTTTTCTCTTCATCAAAATAAAAATATCTTCGTTCGGTAAAATTTACAATCGAATTGTCTTCATTAAAATCATGAACTTCGCGAATAAAACGTTGTCTAAACATTTTTTATAATTTAAAAAAATGAATGAATTTTGTCAACAAAAAAATGGAAAAAACTTACTTAAAATAATATCGACCAGTTTCTTTAAGTTTTAATTTTTCTAAACCATTTTCCACGGCCCATGGATTTTCAACATGAAAAAAATGGATACCAACTTCAGTTGGTTCGGTTGATTGTTGCCAAAAATTATAGAATTCGCCATTGGGTTGGATATTAATGAATGATTGTAATATTTTGACAACCAATATTGGTAGATAAGCATAACACAGACATGCTAACAATGATAATATGAATGATATCAATATGATCCACGATTTTGTATTGATACGACAATTTTCACCAATTCTTCTGGGCTGTGTTGTGTCCAGATAAATTTGATCATTAAAGCCAGTATCATCGGAATAACATGATGTTGCATTCGATGCTGATCTCGAATGACCATTTGTAGAACGATTTTCCATTTCGATCATGCCACTATCACGGCTTAAATTACCGAATGATTGATTTTTTATTGGTGGTTTCATCATTGTTATTATTATTGTATTGATATTTTCTGTATCACAATTATTTTTTTTCAATCAAAATTTCTTGAATTTTTTGAGCAAAAAATGCACCGGGCGAAATATGTTTAAATTTTTTGAATTGAAGAAATGATTTGTTGGTCATTCCATTGACAAACTTGGAATGGAAAGTTCTTCACATATAGGATTTCATTTCATTTTGGAAATATATTTATATACAGCCGATGACCATAACAACAAAACAAAAACAAAAATATAAACAAAAACAATTCTGTTGATTTAGACACACATGTTGATCATAATAATGATGACAATAACCAATATTTATTGTTGATTGATTGAGTAATGAAATCAAACGAATGATTGAAAAACAGTTGTGTTAAGTGCAAGAGACTAGCTGAATTTTCAAATAGAAATTTTAAATAATAAAACAAAACAAAACAATCAATCAAAATTGATTAAGAAATGAATCTTTGTTATTTTTTCAATTGAATGAATGATGTTATTGAGCTTTTATATTGAATTATATGATCAAAATCAATCAATCGATTATTGATTATCGATATGTTTTTGTTCTCTTTATCAATGGATCACATACAAAAATACAAATTTGGAAAAAGCCGGCATATCATCCTTATCAATTTGTACGATTTTCAAAAAAAAACAAAGATTCAAAAGGAGAAAAAATCAACCGATATGGGCAATCGTTATCGATTGATTCAATGAATCCAGTTGGAACAGAATCCAATCCATCTATAGACAATACTAAAACACTGCAGCCAGCAATAACAACCGCCCTCAATACAATTGAAAATATTGTTTGGTTAGTTGGTTGCTGCGAATATTTTGTGACTAATCTACATAGACACCATTCAGCTATCGATGATAATGGTGATGGTAATAGTGGTATCGGAGGTGGTCGGGGTGGTGGCAGTATGTTTCCTCTTTCGTAAAATCATTATTTTTTTCAGCAAGTTACTTGCATATTTGTATGCAATATACCGATGTGTACTGATGACATGTAATACTCTTATGATGACGATGATGATGAAGAGAAAAAACGGTGATCATAGTCATCATCGTCATCATTATTATCTGTGTGTAGAAAAGTAGAAAAGTCAAGCAGCATACCATACATATGTCTAATTGTGCTGAAGAGTTTTTTTCAACGATTTTTGTTGTTTGTTTCGTTTCCACTCTGTTTTGATTCGAATGAACAAAAAAACTCGTATGATAAGGTGGAGCTAAAAATCATCCATTTAATATTCATAATGATGGAGTTGAACGGGGCAACAAACAATAAACAATTGATGTGAGAGGGATATAGCGAGATTCTTTCTTTTTCAATTGAAATGTTGATGCTTGATGTCATCATCATCATCGTTATTCAGATTGATTCGGAATATCATTCGACCACGTTTTCCATTTTGGATACATTTTGTCTGCGTGTATGACTCATGTCATTCATTCGATCAATCAATGACTACTGGATTATTTTCATCAAATAAGGTCCAAATGTTTCTGTCTTGTTTTTTCGTAACAAAAAATGATAACATGTTTTTGTACACAAAAGTTCAAATGATTTTTTGATTAATGAAAATATGTATCATTATGAGAACTTTGAAATACTTTTCTTGGTACAAAACAGAGAAAAAGAGAGAAATTTGGAAACAACAACAAAATGAGAGAAATGCCTTGGTAATCCAAATCGAAATAGAGAAAATCCAAATAAACATACAAAACTGACTTGTTGTTTTGGTTTGGATAATGTGAAAAACTAGTTTGGTTCCGTGTCCGGCTATTTTTATACACCGGGAGGAGGAGAAGCAAAAAAAAATCCATATGTCATTTGAATGGAATATCCATCTGGATGGATTTAGTGAAAACAAGGTGTCCATTGGATACCCAAAGATATTTGTTTGTCTATTATAATTATAATGCAATCAAATAATAAATAGTTTAGCAAGTCACTAGGTATACTTTTTTAGCAAAAAATGAAACAGAATTGCTTTTGTTTGTTTGATCTGGGAATTTCCACACAAAGTTCATTGTTCTTTTGATTGCGATCCAAAAAAACTGTATGTGTAATGAGTGTAATGGATAATAATGGGGTGGGTAAATCAACAATGACCACTATGCTATATATAGGAACAGATTATGAGATTGACCGGCGCACAATATGGTCAATCATTAGATTCTTAGATTCCAAGGGAAGTCGATTTTTTACCTTTAATTTTGTGATTTTTTAAGCCTATGGAGGTTTTTTAGTGCAATTTTTTTTCTCGATTGACAATTCATGAACACAATTCATACTGGAATTGAATTATGATTTTTAAAAAACATCGTTCAATTCGTTCTTACGCAAAAGAATGTTATCTTGATTAATAATCATCATTAATTGATAGTATTAATTTCTGCAATGTCACTATCACATTTAACAAGTTCAATTCTTTCGTTGTTCTATAAAGTACAAAAAAAAATTCTAGATAAAAACTGGGGAAAATTACATAAAATTCGTAATTGAATTCGATCGAAGATGGAATAAGATAAACTTTCCTTGTTACGAAAAACGAAATTAATATTGACTTTATCGATCGATCAATGATGATGAAATGAAAAAACATACGTCAATCAATCAAAAAAAGTGGTTGTGAAAAGCAACAAAAACAAAATTTGATAATAAAGGTTTAGCAAATTAGGTATACAAAACCAAAACGATCAAATCTAATTGATGAACAATAGGGAAAAAATCTGAAACAATCGATACTTGGTTTGAAAGACGTGATCCTCAAAAATGTTATATTCTTGAATCAATAAATAAATATTGACACTATTATTTCACAAATTTCATTCTTTTTTTTTGTTCAAGGTATTGACGATGACATTGATGTTTGTTCCTCTATATCATTGTGATTGATTGATTTTTGAACAAATCATTCACAATATTGTTCGAAAAGAATCAATCATTATTGATTGTATACCACAACGTATTGTTAAAAGGAAAGAAAGAAAAAAAATCCAAGGTGTAGGTGAATAGATTAACTTCATATACATGACTATCATTTTAGTGATCAATTAGTTTGTCGTCAATCGAACAATTTTATTGGTAGAATCATTTGTTTGATCACCACGATAATAATGGAAAATTGATGATAATTACTGATGATGATTACGGGGAGAAATTTTTTCTTTTTTTCATTAACTTTCACATTGAATATTGGAGATATGATGATGGACCCAAGTGAAAAGCGTTGTCATTTTATCTATCATGTGAACAAAAGCATCATACGCAAATATGATTATCGATTTAAAGAGTTTTTTAAATGCCAATAGCAAAAAAATTTCCTTTTTTTCGTTAGCGCCGTAAGAAAAAATATTAACGATGATAAAAATACAGGGACATGATCATTTGTGCGTTGCAATTTTTCAATTTTTTTTTTAATTTTTTTTCTTCCCGCCATTTCTACATATTTGATTCATTTAAATGTCCAGTGGCTCAATCTATCGAGTAATAGTCATAGTCATCAACCTAACCTCACTTGACTATGAATCACAGTCATAGTCATGGTCATCAACCTAACCTCACTTGACTATGAATCA